ACGGGGATGAACCTGATGGGCCTGCGAACATTCGAAACCCGATACTTAAAAAGACCACAAAAAGAAGATAAGAAAAACATCGAAGGCAAAGTCTGTTCCTTTTTGCAGCTCCTTCATGGCGTCTCTCCTGACAGGCGACTACGCCAGTATCGACTTCAGCGACGGCGCAAGGATGAACCCGACGTAAATAAACTTCGAACCAAGTGAAGAACTAGAAGTTGGGAAGAGTATTTTGTAAAATGAAACCTCGTGTCTTTTCTGCAGTTCTTTCATGGCATCTCCTTCGATAGGCGACTACGCCCCCATCGACTTCAGCGATGGCGCGGGAATGAACCTGATGCACCTGCGGAGAAAGAATGTCGGACATCAGAAACGACAACTAGGATCGAAAACCTGGATTACCAATGCAAAGGAATTTCCAACTGCAGTTCCTTCATGGCGTCTCTCCTTATTGGCGACTACGCCAGCATCGACTTCAGCGACGGCGCGGGGATGAACCTGATGGACCTGCGAAGCAAGACGTGGGCGCCGGCGGCCGTGCAGGCGACCGCTCCAGGCTTGGAGGCGAAGCTGGGGGAGCTGGCTCCGGGGCATGGGGCGGCCGGAAAGATTCACGACTATTTTGTGAAGAAGTGAGAAGATACCTTGGGCTTTTGTTTTATGTTCTTGATTTTTGGGCTTCTGTGCTGCGTTTAGAAGTTAGATTACACAAGAAATTCGTCTGGCTGCGTGTACCGGACTGGAGGGCGAAGCTGGGGGAGCTGGCACCGGGGCATGGGGCAGCGGGGAAGATCCACGACTGCTTCGTCAAGAAGTGAGCGGTTGTGAAAGTCGTTCTCTTCTTGCCGCATTTTTGAACTGGGTGAACTTAAACGAATTTGTTGGTTGCGCTTACAAAACCTACGGAGGCGGAGCTGGGAGCTGGCATTAGGGCACGGCGCGGCCGGGAGGAATCTCAGATAGTCTACAACAAAGTCAGAGATTTTGACAAGGGAACTCGCTGGTTCTTGCTGGTCTATTTGGCATCCAGAATGTTACAAAGTTGCGGGCGGATGTCTTTGTATTCTTCGGGCTTGGAGGCGAACGTGGAGAAGCTGGCACCGGAACACGTGGCTTCCGAGAAGGTCCACGAGTACTTTGCCAGAACGTAAGAAGCTTTGGAACAGAGGCATGGGTGTTTCTGCTCTGTTTGAGTTGAGATGGACGCAGAAAAACCATGTTTGGCGGCTTTGAACACCTTGAGGCAAAGCTGGAAGAGCCGCACTGGGTCGTGGCATGGCCGAAAGACGCACCCAGTAACCTTGTGCAGAAACGACTCTTCCAATAAGGTTCCCGGTAGATCCACAAAGTTGGGTCTCTCTTCTGAGGGGACGGACTCTCAACCTTCGCTACCACTAATCTGCCAGGGACGTTGATGCTTCACCGAGTTTCCTTTTTGACTCAGCTCTTATATGTGTACAGGTACGGCTTCTCAGAAGATTGTACGGTGGTCAACTGGTCTGGCGACAACCCCAACAGTTTTGCAGGTGAGCAACAACCCATGCCTCAATACAGATGTACTTCCGCGCGCTCGTCAAACTCCTGCTCCGTCCGCTTCAAATCTGTTTTGAGTGCAGAGGACGCAGGGAGGAGCTCCCTTAGGCGCAGGTGTCCTGCCATAGAGGCTCACCAGAGTGACGCTATCATGATTTTGCGCATATCTGGGCCGTCCATCAGGACACGTGCCTTCTACGAGGCATTGAAAAGGGCAGGGAGAAACCGACCAAGAAAGTTTTGCCGGGGTGACAAAACGTACATCTGTTTTCGCGCAGGGCTTGCTTTGGAGAAGCCGGGCGACATCGCCGTAAGCCTGGGAACGAGCGACACGGTAAGCAAGTGGCTACGGTTTGTCTAGCTCAAATCTCCCAGAGCCATGCTCTATTGCAATGTGACCTGTTTCAGCTCTACCTTAAAAAAGTCGACGTTCGAGCGGGCAAAGACTGGGCTTCTCGTGCGGTCTTGAGTTGTCATGCTAAGCAGCGATTTTCTGTCATTCCCCGCAAATATCTCCAGCTTGGCTGTTTGCGTGGAACTGCACTGCTGCTGGGAGCTCCCGTTCCTTGCTTATGTGTTTCGTTCTGCGAACGGAATTTCTTACTCGTCTAACTGAACAAGTGGTCACAGTCCATTAAAAGCCGGGTAATTGATACATCTCAACTTTAGGTTGCTTAAGAGCATATTTCAAAGGATCTTGCTCGGAACCACAGAAAAAACAAAGAACTCATACGTCAGAGTTGACTTGATACGTACACGTACCCCCTCGACACCCCCAAAACTACCCTCCCCGTTCCCCGGGCATCCCGGGGCTAAGCAACATGGCCCGTGGTTGACATGAAATGGAGAGCCGTACTTATCGCGTCGTTCCGTTGGCCAGGTGTTCGGCGTGGTGTCTGACCCAAACCCCGGCCTGGAAGGGCACGTGTTCCCCAACCCAGTCGACCCCAGCAGCTACATGACCATGCTGTGCTACAAGAACGGCTCGCTCACGCGTCAAGGTACGCCTTTCTTTGATTGGAGAGTACCGGCCAGTTTGGACGCAGCGTTTGAGTTTGCTTCCTGGCAACCTTGAACGCAAAGTTTGTTTCCTACTCTTCTGGAGAGAACGAATTGTTTCAAGGAGAACCTTGAGGCAGTGAAATGGAACTCTGTTCCGTAATCTCTAAAGGTCTATTTTATCTCGGTACTGGCCTGGAGTCCGGGCAAAGAGAAGTTTTGTGGGGGCCCGCGGAACCCAGAACGCTCCAAATTGGGGCAAGACAGTAAGGTGCATGTCCCGGCGACACTTAGGAAACGGTGACATCTCGGCGAGGCAGCGTCTGAAAAGCAGATGCGGGTAAGAAAAATTGCGTTGCAGTCTGACCGAGTCTGTTTTGAAGTTGCGGTTTAAAAAGGTCTTGTCGTCTGCAGGTGTTCGGGATCGGTGTGCGGACAAGTCGTGGGAGCATTTTGCCGAGCTGGTACAACAGGTTTCACCTGGAAACGGTGGGGAAAATCCCCATGCATCTTGACCCGCACATTCAACCAGAGCGGGGCACCATTGATCTCACCCCAGCTAGTCAGTAAAACCATTGCTTTCACTCCTCTGCGCGATAGTGACCTGCAGCAAGCAACCGCAGCCTGCGAGTTCTTGCGTAAGTGGGTCTGTACGAAGTTTGTGCATTAACTGGGGCCTTGGATTGGTGGACTGGTCGGGAAGTTGGTTGACTCTTTGTTTGAGATTCTCTGCGCTGAAAGGGCTGAAGCGCAACTCTGTTTCCAGATTCGGGTCGCTATTCATTAGATGTCGGCAACATTACGCTCTTGCGTGCGGCCTAAGGATCCACTTTCTCGAAGGTTGACACTGCCGGAATGTCTGCAGATGACCTCCATGGATTCTACTATGACGAGCCCGAGATCCTCCCGCCAGTCCCTGGTGAGGCCCTTCTTCTAAAAGAGCTGTTGCAATCTCTCTCAGAAGGAGAGCGTCCGCGCAAGATACCCTTATTGTAGGAACAATCTGAGTTGTTGACAGCAGAGCCCCACAGGCAAGCCGTTTCAAACTGGACAAACTCCGGCAACCTGCTTGACGGCACTTACGCCCGGGCAGTTCTTGCATCTATGAACATCTCGCATCTTGGCGGCTGGACGAGTGGAAGTCGTGCCTATGGTCGTCTATTAGTGGGCCAGTCTGTACCATCTCGTTCCGCTCTCATTGCAGCGGGCGTCCTCCGGTTCGAATGCAAAGGCAACTCAGCGGAGGACGCCACACCGGTTTCGAGCTTTGATGACGCACATGAGGTACGTCACTTTTTCAGATCTACCTCAAACTTAGGAGCTTAGCCAACAGTGTCTCTCTTACAGGTAGCATCCTGTAGCTTCTGTTACGATTGTGGAAGACAGTCAACATCAAGCTGTGTGCCTTCAAGGGAGAAGCTGACACGCTTGGCCCGAAAGACAGGTATAAGTCGCTGCTCTCGTTTCTACTCAGCTTCTCCACATTGACTCCTTGGAAAACCAACTAAAACGTTACTCTTGTCTCCTTCATAGCTCCGCCTTGGAAAATCGACCTGGTCATATTTTTTTATAGCTGCAAGAAACGGCTGTACAATTCACAATCGCGCTTTGCAGTGTCGAGCTATAGTGGAGGGCCAGCTGCTGTCCATGCGCGCGCACTCAGAACGCATCGGGATGCCGTCGCCCCCAACGCGGGTCATTGTGACTGGTGGCGCCTCTGCGAACCAGGCGATTGTGGCGACCACTGCCGACGTGTTTGGGTGCGACGTGTTTGCGGCGGCAGGCACCGGTCAGTCGTTCCTCGTTTCGCAATATTGCTGTTTGATTACAACCGTCCCTCTTGTAGCCTCTTGTAGCCTCTCGTCTTCTTGTTGCTTGTCATATCAGAGCATGCCCCATTTCAGTAGATATTCCGGCAGTTGCCATTAGTTTTGGCAAATAGAAGGTTTCTGTAGTAGACCGTACGGAACGCTCAACAACCGAGGAGGATGCTTCCCCCTCGACAAGTTATTTTGCTGCTGGAGCTTTGAGAAGTTGCACACCTGCACATGCGTATTTCTGCCGGGTGTTGACATTTTTCGACAATTGCTAGAGTATGAGCGGAAGGGTTGCTTGTCAAACACTCAATTGCTCCGTCGACAAGGGGTAGCTACACTTTCCCAAGCGAACAAGAGAACTCAAAAGGCTTGAATGATCTCCGACCTTCTTTATCGGCTCGCTGACCGTCTGATGCTCATTAAACCCCGTCAATTTGCAGACTCGGCCTCGCTCGGCGCAGCGCTCCGTGCGGCCCACAGCTTGTTGTGTTCACAAGCTAGCGGAAGAGATGGACGACCGCACGTGCCGCCGTCTCCTTTTTCTGACGTGCTCAGCAACGCAGCGGACGGCAGCGCCATCCTGTTGACCAAGATCCGGTCACCAGATATGAAAGTATACGGAGAGTATGGGAAGCACTTGACGATCAGGAGTGCATTGGAGAGGCTTATAGCGGGGATGTGAAAGACTGTCGGAATGGTTTGTTTCGGCGCATTGCTGAATTGTGTTCTGTAAGCTGAGTTGCCATCATAGTCGCTCTTGCCACGAGAAACTGATGCCAATTTCCGCCTTGGAAGATGCAGTTTGAGGCTGCCGCTCTGCTGATGCTCCGGATCCCAACTGCTTAAGCTTCCTTCCTGCTTTAGTGATAAGGACGCATCTGTCATTCGTGGTTGTTCTTCGCATTGTATGTCATTTGCGACCTGAAAACTTCGTTGCTTAAGTTGGACGCAGCCGAGTGTCTCTTTGTCGACTTCCAACAGCTGTGCTTGATAATTCAGTATGAGGACCATTCGGAGTGGTCGGCACAAGTAAGCAAGCTCCACGGATCTTCTAGCTGCTTGAAGCACTTGACGCATCAATGATGTGTGGCGGTCGCCAATTAGAACAACTTACGGATTTTTGCGCAGTTCCTTAGGTAAAAGCAGGTTCGCCAACATCTTTAACCACAACATGGAAGGTTCCGTCGATCTTGTTTCGAATTCATTTCACTAATACTTAAACGACTCTTGCATGCGAAGTGTGTGATTGCAAAGTGTACGAACGTCCTCTTTCCACATGATTAATGAGCTGAACAATCGTATGGTGTTCACACAATTTCAAACAGTAGAAGATTGCATGCATGGCGGCATACGTATATGCTCATCTTGAAACCCGGGTTGTCGCTAAATTCATGATCCGGCTTCTATCTGAGCCTCTCGGCAACATAAGTACAGCCTAGTAAAGATCGACCATCATGTAAATGATATTAGCGCCACATTCCACGCATCATGCAGAAGGCCCGCGGATATGACAGGGATACACAATACTACTTCAAGCGCGCGCATGTCGCGCTTGCACATTAGACTTCCTCCAAACCATGTCGCGTTCAGCTGTCAAGAGCACCCTGCAATATCGCCCTTATCACAGCCTTAAATTGAACATGAAGAAAGAATGAAGCTTCATTCCTTCGGCCCTGGTCACTATAGTGCTTGAGCACTGCTATATAAGCTATATGTCCTGATCCCATACGCTATCTGTCATCATGCATTCAAATACTACTACGGTATTGGGCCTTGGCATGTAGGTACATTCATTCGTTATGGAACGCGCCATGATGTTTTCTGTTCTCCACAAAAATGGACAACTCCACGAGTGCCAGCAAGAAAAAGGGCACAAAACGTAGATTTGAGCGGGGCCAGGATTCGGTCAACTGAGATCCTGAAGCAGGACGTATCCTGCGCAGGACTTGTCCTGCGGAATACCGTGCTCGAACCGACGTCGTTACGGCTTCTGAATCTCCATTGTGGCGTACCACTCCACCATATCAAATTCTCTGCACAGGGTTGCTCTTACAAATTCTATATACAAAAAAAAGGATCAGGAGAATCCTGAGGGATCCCCACAACGGAGAAAGAGGCGTGCAGTGTGAGACGGGAGATCCAAGAAAATGTCCGAGTAAATAAGCCCTATGTCTGAAGATTACCCCACGAGTAACATCGATAATGTGGCAGTACGTGCCTATTCACAGCAAATGTATTACCTAGGCTCGTCGCGACCCGTGTCCACCTTGTCACTTGAAGTTGAAGTTGTGACCAAGAGGTGCGATCAGAGGGAGCAGATTGAGCAGAAGGCCCTGATTGACGCGCAATGTAGAGCCTGCAGAATCTCTTTAGCCATCAGAGTTTCTATGTGTCACAACTCACTACCAAGTCACGGTCATACGCGGCTGTTGGCTCTTGCTCCTGCAGTTGCAACCCATCCATGTAGACAAGTATGAGAAGCCGTTTTGTTCAGACTTGAGTGGCCACACGTGCAAAGTATGCTGCATTTCAACTCCCAAAGCAAGGTAGTCCTTTAGTAACCGCCGCCGCTGGTTGTCTTCCATAGAATTGATGTGAGGTGGAGACCAAGTATTCAGGCAAAGCTCTGTTTCAACAGTCCCCAGAGGTCAAGCCACGAAAGCAGACTGCAAGCTAATCATGGCAGAAGCGGGTGATGATGATGGCCATATGTCAGCAATCGAGGCTTATCTCACCGAACTCATCAACAGTGGTAGGCATTGGTCACTGGAGGAGGCGATCTCTGCAGTGCGAAGGTCTGTTGCAAGACCGAATCGTAGCCTCCTGAAAGTCCTCGCTGCCAAGTGGCTCCAGAGGAAGCTGAGCAGTGGCACATTGGGGACGGGTGAAGAAGATGAAACACAGAGGGTTTTCTTTGAGCTGAATGATGAGACCGCAAGGAAGCTGCAGGTGCGTGTGAAAATGTCTCTAGTACCATTGCATGATTAATAGGAACATGCATTGGGCAAGGCTCGATTCGATTGTGCATTGGTCAGCTAATTTTCTGGTACATTAGTTGAAAACCAAACATGGCTTTGTTAACAGCAATGATCTGGTCTGAGAGCAGCAGCTTCTCTTGTTGCAAGATACATTATCAAAGAATTGTGAGCAATAGTACACTTGCTCACGTCAAACTATGGAGTGCCTTGCAGAGCCACCAGCCGTTCAGAGACTCATCAACAGCTCCCGCCGTCCATGTTGATTCAAGACGGTTTTCAGGGATGAATTTTCTGGCCCCCGTGGGGAAGGGTGTCTGTGGCACCGCATATGATGCTAGGAGGTGAGAAGGCACATGCGTTTCATGCAATCTACCTTGCGTTCGATAAGTGCATACCCCATGCTTTTTCTTGCTAGAATGGGGCCAGTGTTTTGAGCAGAATTGGCAAGCACATGCCTGCAGTATCCCTGCTTTGCAGATTGCCGCTTGACTGCCTCCGGAACCTTGCACAAGATGCAACAAGACATTCATCACTCTCCTTATTCAACAATAGCAACAAGACTGGAGAACAGCCTTGCTCTAGTCCACATGTTCTGTCAAATATGCGCAGGGAATATCAGAGAAGTTCATCGGCCCCCTGCTTGCTCTATGCGGGCCTCACCCCGGAACCTTTTAGCACCTTGCGCTGTGATTCAGAGAAGATGCTATGTTGAGGACCAATGTCCAGACCTGTTAAAGATCTACTGGATTTGACTCATGAAGAAGCCACAACTCCTGTTTTACAGAACTTTGATCATTTCATAATGCAGGCGGTATGCATGGGAACCGACTATGTGGCCCCTTCCACCTCAGCAGGGCCCAATCTGCACACCAGAGGGGTACATCCCCGGGTACGTGCTTTACAATGCCTGCTGTGTTTAATGAAGAAGCTTGAATCTGCTCGCAAATACAAGACATTTGAAGATCGCGATTGTGCTCATGATCTATTTACAAGCACAAGAAAAGGTGCTAACCTGATTGCCAACAGATGGATGAATTCGAGATTGCATGCTCAGGCTGTTACGCTACAGAAGCGTTCTTCAGTGCTGCAGTTGGCGTTCACTGCTAACCATCAAGACAGAATGAGCACTGCAACTTTCCAAGACAGGAAGCAGAAACAGTCTCCTATCGTAACCTCCATCAGAAAGTGTGAATTTAGCATTGAGCCTGCTGCTTCACACATCATGCTGAATTACAACAACGCTGCCATTCCTGCAGGACTAGCGCCGCCAGGACTCGGAAGCAGCGGGAGACACCCCTGCAGGTCCTTGTGACGAATGCCTGGAGTTCCTGTCTCAGAATGGGGTCGTCTCCCTTGAGCCGCCCAAGGATAACATGGAGAAGCTCAGCCACCTGGGACTGTCCTTCATGTTCAGAGGGGGCAGCTTGGTGCTATGGGACAAGGACGATGACAAGGAGGCCAGCCAGGTTAGCAAGCCAGTGCAATTGCATTAGAGGCTAAGCGTTCACCGTCACCAAAACCCTAAACTTTTCAACGAGGTTTGCTGTGTTCAGCATCATTTCCAGTACCGTGCTTCTCTAGCTCTAGCCTGAAAAGACTTGAACATATTGGCACACCGAGGAAGCTGGTTGTGCTCTGTTCTGGCAATCAAAAGGCAGCCAATATATTCCCACAACGTGTCTGGTCGAACGCTGCATACCTTCTTTGATTCTTTCTATTGCGTGCCTTATAACCTTCAGACCTCACCTTCTTTCTCCTTGTCAGGTATCCCCAAAACCGAAAAAGTCTCGACAACAAGTGGACGACGAGCGTTCTGCCAATCCAGGGGCCACCACTTCAGCGGAGGTAAGCCGTCTTGAATTCTGTAGCCAGTCCCTGGTTGGCCTATAGTTTCTAGACCTGGAGCTTGTGCAGCCGGTATTTCTACATGCAGACTGACTTCAAAAATGCATCCTCGCAGACTGAGATACTGTTGAGGTATGTTAACAGAGAAGGACCTGCCTTGCAACATCAGGTGTTGACTCAGTGTGAATGCTGTATGGCTCACTAGCTATATTTGGTAAGGTGATTCTGACGACAGACCACATGGCCCAACTCTGAGGTCGACTTTTGCTTGGCCTCCTTCCACAATCTCTCCATGTGCGAATTCAGTCACAGGCATCTTTGGTCACTGACAATCACGAGTGTTGCGTCAGGGCTGCAGACCTGATGAATAGAATGTAAACCTTGCAGAGTCCAAAGGCCGAGGTCCCTGCTGCCCAAGCTGGCCACGTCTCCACCTCTGTCAAAGACCTCTCGGCCCTGTTTGCCAAGACCACCACCTCCCAGGAGCAGGGCGTTGGGACCCCCGCAGCATCAGCTGCTGCTCAGGCAAGCATTCCTTTAATTTTCTGTCAACCTGTGATAGCAGCTGCAAGCTGACTCAGCTTCGGCTTTTAAATCGGTGTCCCTGCTAACAATCTGCTCTCGTATTGGTAACCGCAGATTTAGTCCCTTTTGCCGGAAAAGGGAAAAGACTGCAGCTAGGAACCCGTATAAGTGAGCTGCATTAGCATGCACTGCAGGGGATTCGAGTGGGAAAGTCCTCCCTCTCGTGCTCTCCATCCTGGTCACCGGTTGATTGTCTCACGCATTCCATTTTCCTGCTCTGGGGGAATGTTTGTATGTATTTAAGGCAAAGCCCCGACCTTCATATTTCCTGTACTTCACATAGATGTAAGTTTTGAGCACGCTGTTTTCCTCAAGCTAGTTGTAGAAGTCTCCTCAGTGGATATCCTCTCCTTGATGTCGGCAGGCAACCCTTCAAAGTGCTGCGAATGACGACGGGCCCCCGCTGCGACTGACTACGCCAGCCGACGACTCTCCGTCTGCCAAAGACGACGTGGCTCAAGTGCATCCAGAGGAGCTCGTCGACGAGGAAGCCAAGGCCACTGGCGGCAAGGACACTGCGCACCCGGCTGGAGCTGACGCAAGCAGCGGTGTCAAGGAGGTGGCGGGGAACAAGCGTCCAAACACAGGTCGTTTGGAGGATGTTAACAAAGTAAGGTTTGGCCTTGTTTGTGGAACTTCTGGCGCTCTATTCCCTCAGGTCTTTTGGAGGTTCGTGCTTGGATGATCAGGAAAGCCTACTTGGAAACCATTGCAAGGTTGACAAAGTTTCATGCTTTGGTCCTCATATGCACGCACGCCAAGGCAGAAACAGGGTCTTGAAAAGCATCTCCTTTCCTCTTGAACAAGGTTTAGCATCTTCTGCTCTGTCTTTGAAAGGATGCTGGACCTCCAGAATATGCATCCTCTGGGGTGTGTGTTCATGCTCCGGCCCATCGCATACGTTTCAAGAAGAGAGCAGTTCTTTGCGTCCACTCTGAAGCGAAAGCCAGGACGCATGCAGTGCAGAGGCAACTAGGAATTTGCGGCGAAGCGTGCTTTCCTGAGCAAACAACAAGAGAAGCTCATGGTGATATCCTGCGCTTTTTTGCATCTGCAGACTCCGGTCGACACGGTGCGCTCAGGACGCGCTTCTCCGCCGCAAGGCGTCGAGCCCGACGGCGTTGTTCTCTCCGACCCCACGGACACCAAGGAGAAGGGCGTGTTGGAGACCCCTGGCGACGCCACTGAGAGGGAGGCCCCTGCGGCTGACGTCAGCGGTGGCGCGCAACCACACGGAGCGAGCGAGGTAAGCAGCACAGATTGGCAGGGCGTCCAGGTGTTGATGACGCAAGCCTTCTTTCGTCTGCTTTAAGTAGGCACTTTTTGCACTTTGCGTTCAGCTTATGTAGAGACAGTCCTACCAGACGTTACCATGTATCTGAAAAGAATGGGACTTGAAGTGTCTACCTACGAGTGTTTTGTGGGGACTGCAACTTGCTTAAGAGTTCCAAAACCGTTAGGAAGAAGATCTGGAAGAACCTCAGAAAGAAACGGTGAAAGAAGCTGAAATTTACTTAGATTCTGATCATTTTCATCTCTGTTCCTCACAAATGGTACTCGGGCTTTCTGGCTTTCCCGCTTGATGGGTTACTTTAAAGGCACCTTCTGTTGCTTGGATTCCTCCTCTGACCTTATTCATGATGGAAACAGAGTACTATGACTCTCGACAGCTCACGAAGACGTGCTCGCTGCCGTCCGAAATATCGTAAGTTTCCAATGGTCTGAATACTTCAGCATACTTTGATGCGCGGTCTTTGTTTCTTTCTGCAGCCCCGAGTCACGACCGGTGTGACGGGAATCGCCGCTCCGCCGCAAGGTGTCGAGCCAGCTGGCGCGTTCCTGTCTGCCGGCGACGTCACTGCTGAGGGACCCCCGACGGCTGCAGGAGAGGAGGCGGAGGACGCCGCTGACGGGAACGTGGGGCACGGTACGAGAGGCGACGTCAGCAGAACGGCGCAGGCAGTGAACGAGAACGAGGAGACGAAGGAGGACGAGGGCGTTCTATCAGACAAGGTCCAGGTAACTAAATAGATTCCCCTTCCAGACTTCTTAAGTTTTCGGAGGCTGTCAAGTCTTGGGAATCCCTTATTGCAGGAGCCTGCTAGGGTTTGTATGAGAAACACCTCATAGGGTTTGCTTCTCGCAAGTAGCCGGAACTGGAGGAACTGACTCCCGACCATTTTGTTGCACATGCTCGATGAAAGCTTGAGAAGGAGTTTCGTCACTTGCGATGTTCTTATTGAATCTCAACAGCGTTGAAATGCTCGCGTTCCAGACTGTTACGGAGGTGTTTGCAGTCTGCTTGTTATAATAAAAGGATTCAAGACATGCTGACAGTTCCTTCCTGCTTGATATTGTGGTCTTGCAAAACACAGCCGCTTTGGGTCGCCATCTCAACAATATTTCTCCAGAGAGGTTGTCGCACCCAGAACTCAGAAAGGCTAGCGTGCTGCTTGTACACGCTTCCATCGGGATGATCCTTTTCTGACTTATCCGACCGGTCCAATGCAGGGAGTCGGCAGCTATGAGGACCGCACTCCCCCCGGCCAGGATGTTGACGTCACCCCGCCGCCGGAGCCGGTTCATGAGGGCGAGCCCGACGCACGCATGGCCGCCGCCCGCGACCGTCTCGACCTGGCGAACGAGATCCTGACAATGGAGACGGTCGACCTCCTGGACGCACTGCTGGAGCTGAGCGGGGGGGTGCTCAAAGGCGAAGCCCCCGCGCTGTCCGTGCTCGAAGCTAAGCGGCAGGCGGGGACGCTCCCGTCGGATGGGGGCGGCGTCCTGGAGCGCATCGTCTCGGCCTACAAGACGAAGACCGGCAACCCGGCTGGAAAGCAAGTCTTCAAGAATATCCGAGACTGGGAAGCCGCCCGTGATGCTGTGCTGGAGGCCGACTTCGCGCTCCTGCAGACGGAGGAGAAGCCGGCAGAACCGAAGGACGGAGAGCGCAGGGAAGGACGGGGGACAGTGGAAGGGGGAGGAATGGAGCGCCAGATTACGGCTGGTCAAGGCGGGCAGATCGCGGCTGTTGAAGAAGATGTACATACAGGAGAAAAAAGTACTGGCAACGGGCTGACCGGTGGCGGGGCGGATGACGAGCAGGGGGACGAGAACAAGGAGAATGAGACCGGCTTCGAGCCAGAGAGCGATTCTGCGGAAGCAAACAGGCGTGGTATTTTAACAGAAAATGGCCAAGATGAGGGAGAAGGCGTTGGCCAGGACGGAGAGAGGAACGCGAGACGGACGGGAACCAAGTCCGGTGGAGGGCAGCGGCGGACCGTGGAGCTGAACGAGATCGACGGCGCGAAGGGCGTCAGCGAAGAAAGCGACGCGGGAGCCGAGAGGGACGAGAGCTCCGTGGAAGCGGCCGCCGTCGGCGGCAGGGTGTCCATGATCCCGCAGGCGCCTCACCTCCGATCCCAGACTCCTGCGAGCTGTGACTACGTGACGGTCCGCGGCAGAGGGTCCGGGGTGGGCGACGCGGCGTCGCAGGTATGTAAAGCGGAAGCGGAAGATGAATTCAAATCAGGTCCTATGTTGTGCTCCAGGCTGCAGTCTGCTGCCTCTAATGAGCAGATGAGAGAGTCCATTTGCTCTACTCGCTCAAGAACTTTTCGAGAACTAGTCGGTTTGAATTGGGTGTCGCTGCAGGAAAACTCTCGAAAGAGTCCATCGGATGTGGTCTGTGTTGCTCAGTTTCTGGAGAAAGGGGCCAATCTCTAAACGTGATCTTACGGATTTTCGGTGATCATATGCAGCGCCTGACGCGGAGCCGGAGCGTCAGCCCGGGCCGGCCCCCGGTAAGCCAACCATTTCCGATCTCTTATCGGCATTTCTTCTGCCAATCATCGTCGTCCTGTCTCTCCTTCCAGCTGTTTATCCTGGCTTCATAACATCGCGCAAGTCTGTAGAGGCAAACTTTCAGTTCAGTCGGATTGGGAAGGATCCTTGATTCAGATGGCTTGTGAAAGGAGTCCTCTGTCCCTTCTTGCATAAACTCGCTTGGAACATTGCTGAAGGCTTTTGACTATTTACAATAGAAGATTCCGGCGAGCTGCTGTACGAAAGAACCGCATTTTTTGCAGCGCTACGGGGAACGCCGGCGGACGCAGAGCGCAAGCGGCATCGCAACGCCTGCCAATCCCGGCTACGTCAGCTCCGCCGGATTGCTCCACGAATCTAACGCAACGGTGAGTGCCCGGGCTTTCCGTTGAATGTTTTCGTAGGTTTATCAAGTGGGGCGGTGGACACTGCCAAGTCGTCAGCCCCATTTTTGCGCTTGGCGTTCCCTTGGAGGTCAATTCTGGAGCCATTTCTTTGGCTGAGCAGTCTGTTTACGACGGTTGCACACTGACAACAGTCTGGTTTTTTGATTAACCTTAATTTGTGGCTGCGCTAACACGGATGTTTGAAAGTGCAGTTTGGACGCATCGCGGGGTTGTCCAACCGTTTATCGTTCTTTCTATTGGAGAACCTACAGCTTCAATCCCGTTGCAAGACTTTGCACACGATTCTTTGACAATAACGGCAATCGAGCATTATAAGTTCCGGCTGAGTCCTTATGCATTTGCTTTTGTCGTATGCAGACTTTGAGGTCTTTTTGCGTGTCGCTCGGGTTAGCAATACAGTCTGCTCACCTATCCGGTAATAAAAAGGCCGTTATTAAACCCCAGTTTTCGAAGGTCCGCTTAGACCGTCCCCCATTTCTTTGCGTCCCACTGCCGAGCACACAGCGGCAAAATTGTCTACGTTGCTTCAGCCCTCATTGCTGTACTTTTTCACAGGCAAAATCGTTCACATGCTTGCAGGTACAAGCCACCGCAACCCCCTCCACGTTTTGCACCCCCACCTCCGATGAGCAGGCCCCTCTGAAGAACTGGGTGGAGAAGCCGGCCGGCTGCGCATTTGTGGTGGGCGGGGGCGGGCTGGCTTTGGCAACCGGCGGCCAAAGCACGGCGACGGCGGCAGCAAATGCGAATGGGACGGGGACAATCAGCACGGCGGAGAAGTCCGCTACCAAGAAGGGCAGCAAGGTACGCGTGTGAAGCGATTGGACCTGATGCATTAGTTTTGGGTCAAGTGTCGATCCCACCGTTTGACCCCTATCTATTTGCACCCTGAGGGGATGCGTCCGTTTGCAGAGCGGTAATGCTGAACAGTAGGGCGCTTTGATTGCAAGCGACGCGCCAAGTGGAGTGGACACTGTCCACTTCCTGATCATTTTGCAACAGCATTCGAGTTGCTTCGAATCGTTGCGCTGCTGCGCCCGTTCAGAGTTTCTTCCTTGCGCATGATCGTTGCGCCGTTTGTGCCGCTGCAGGCGTTCACCGAGTGCGAGGTGCGCGCCGTCGTGACGACCAGTTTGGCCAGCGCGGGGCCGGTAGTTGCAGCGGCGGGGGGCCAGAGCGAGCGGGTGCGCACCACGGCGCGACAGGAGACGGCGGCAGCGGAGCAGGAGGCGGCGGCGAGAGAGCAGGCGGCAGCCGCGAAAGAGCAGCAGGCCGTGGCAGCTGGAGCGGATCCGTCCCCCGGAGTCTGGGCGGTCAGTGCTCAAAGTTCAACTTTGACCATTTTAACGTGCTCAGCTGTCGGATTGCGGTGTAACGTGAGTTTGAGCAAGCTTCGTGTCCCTGCGGAAAGCAACCGGGAAATGATGAGCTCTCCGCTGAAGCCTGCTTCCGTTGGCTAAGCCCGCCTTTGGTTGCATGTGTCTGCATCGGATCGAAGCCGTTTACTCGACATGTGTACCTACCAACCTTAAAATGCCGCTAAACTTCCATGTTGCAGGAAGTTCTCGCATCTCTCTTGGGTGAAGAAGACACCGACCCCAAGTCGCGGCTGGACGGGGCGTCAAAGCCCGTCGGCGTCCACAACGCGGACGTCGTGGAGGATGAGAGCGTGGCGGCGGCTGTGGGACTGCTGCGCCTGGCGTCAGCGGTACGTCACTCTCCTTTCACCGGCTTCTTATTGCCTAACCTGCCCAGCAAGCTACGCAAGTGTTCAGGCACTGACTCTTTGCATTAGAGCAGCCTCAAAAGCAGGATTAGGTTTACTCGCTTGACGCACTCCTTCTGTGACGCACCCGCTTTGCGATGCTTGGTTTGGGTGCCCTGCGTTGTAATCGCTCCAGCGCATTGACTGCACCGGGACCTTCTTTCTGCAAACCCTCGGCGTTGGCAGATCGTCGCGAGCGCAATAATCCAGCAGTCACAATGTTGAGCTTTCAGTCAACTCTTAGACCACACTGCGGGACCTCTTGTAATTTTGGGCGTGCTAGGAAGTCAATGCTGAGCACCTCCTCCCCTCACACTCCAGCAACATATTCTCATTTCGAAAGACAATCTGTTGCAGGTGCCAGAGGAGGAGGACTTCGAGACCATCCTGGAACCGGGGGACGATGCAGGGTCGTGGTTGTGCGACGGGAAGGAAGCAGCGGATGCAGAGGGGGCCGCCGAGAATGGGGAGTTGGTTGAAAGCCAGATTGCGGGGGTCGCGGAGCGTTGGCTCCAAGAGTAAGCGTGCTGTGTATGTGCAATTGCGTTGATGCTTAAAGCTGAGAAACTTCTGATCGAATTAAATGTTCTACAAAGAATTCAGTGGTTCATATAGGTGTACTGTGCACGCGAACGTGATGATCTCTAGATTGAGCCGAGAACTGTACCATGACTAAACAGGTGTCCTTGGTCGGTGACTACAAGGGACTTAAAGGCAGAGTGACATAAGTGTACTGAGCACGCGAGCAGATCGACTTTCAAACTGAGATGAGAACTGTATCATAGTTGAGCGAAGTGTCCTACAGTCGGTGACTGGCAACCGGCCTTACTGTAATCAATTACATGCGGCGACCAAGATAACGCAGGACGAAATCTCTTTTGACGCAATACGGCATATAGATTCTTAAAAGAGAGCTAATCCGACGGGAGGTGTAGGATAACTTTTTACTGCTGGTATGATTCTGTAGTATAGAATGGCAACGCTGGTTACTGATTAAGCAGCACGTCGGAGGTTTCCTTGCACACTCCATTTGGCTTCATAAAGATATTGTCGAGCAGGAGCAACCATCGGCTGTTCGATATTCCCAACCAGGTACCAGGCTGCGGGTTCTATAGCTAGTCGGCTTGATGGACTCTCCGTTATGGAAGTGGTATGTGGATCTGTCATGATGTCCGTGTCACCAAAATTACAAATATAAATAGTAGATTCGATGTCGTTATATCAGGGCGACTCATCATGGTACCCAATTAATTTGAAGTTGCAGTTGGGCCCCAATCTTGAACCGACATCCGAGCTTCGATCATAGACGTACCGCGTGGTTAACTTGAGGAACTTGCGCGAGCAAGGGAGCGGCTTGCCTACAGGCTCCCGCCCTAGGCTATAGCTGTATACTAAGTTGGGGCGGTACCGTCAGAGCTACAAATCAAACCTGCTGATTCTAGCTATGCAATCGAATTGGAAACTCTTCAGACGTATAAACGAATGATGATTCATACCATGATCATAATTCGCTCATAATTCGCGCGCGGCATCATCAACTGAGAAACTCTCGGAAAATTGTTACATAAGGATCGCACAGGCTGATGTAAACAGCTGAAAAGGTCCGCTCCACCGTGCGAAGCCCCTGCGCCAAGTCAGCTAGTGGGCCAAATTGTGACTTCTCACTGCCAATCAGAGCAGCCGCTCAACCTGTTCAGTTCTTCCCGTGTAGGATGATAGTTTGCCAGACATGCAGCGCTTCCCAAACTTGAAGCCCAATGCTCACGCATTGGTAAATGGCCACTCAATGCGGCCGCGACTGTGGCTGGCGGCTCATGCCGGCTCATGCAGCCAATGATGAGCTCAGGCTACTAGCCTGGCGGGCCCCGGGGGCGCGGCCGTCGACGACTCGGACTGATTTCTGGAGTCGGCTTTCGATGACTGTACACCTACGTCAGCAAGAGCCGAAGTCCGTAAAACACGGCGCTGCCTGTGCTTGTGCCAGTTGGCAGCTCCAGGTGCATGCTGCGGCCAGACGAGTCCCGAACCGTACGGCTGCAATGAATGCGCGGCCTTTCGACCACTGTGCAACCGTACGGATCGTGCTCGGGCGGAGCTTTCGCCGGCCGTCGCCCGGCCGGCCACACATGAGACCACTGCTACATAGCGCCATGCAAGAGAATGCAGGGCAGGGCCCAGTCACCCCTTTCGGTAAGCTTGTCAAGAGCCCGGCCAAACTTGAACTTGAAGGTCTGAAAGGTTTTGATTCCAACTTCCGGCCAAGGTGCGTTGGATATGTCTCAGAAATTAGAATAATGTGCCACTAGTGGGCTTCCATGATCCATGTCGACATTGAACAGACGTCATATCTTTTGCGCTTCATCACAAGCTGCCTTGTGGCAGAAACTGCTTCTCATGATTTGTCAGGATCAAACCACAAACGTATTGTCAACTGAGCTCCTCTATGAGGATCAAGAAAATGTTGTAATCCCGTTTTCATACCCAATTTGATTCGACGGAAAAATGAGAGGCCAAGGAAACAGGGAATGCGCACGTCGTTTTGGAAATCAGACAACATCGACCGCATCTGCCGTCTACCTAAATGTTTCCAACCTCTAGCTAATGTCTCTCACGGCGGATCCTGGCAGTGGGTTTTATCTATCACAGCGTTTCAGCTCATCCTAGCACCACAAAGCAGCGCCCCGCTTCTCCATCAAAGCTGCATTGGCATGCCTTTCAATTTGTGACCTCAGAAGAATGCAAAGGGAACGAGTGAAACCAACCTGAGCTCCTAATGCAGCTCTTTGACTGATTGCAGCATTGGGGAATTGAACTACTTTTAGAAGTTTGTGATCTTAGATTGCAAGCGTGTTGTAAGTCAAGATATATACTTCATTCCAAGAAAGACTAGATAGCCAATGCAAAGATTCCCGTCGTGTCTCTGCTTTCCCTGAGCCCAAGATCTTTCCGTTCTATTATTGAGATGGCAGGACGCTTGTCTCTTGCTGCGATCCTCGTCTGTCTCATGCTGCTGGCCAAAGATTCAAGCTTTGTACAGGCAACCTCTGAGAATATCCGGAACAGAAAAGTGCTTGAAGGTGAGATCACTGCTTTGTGTGTTCTTTCTATCTCCTATCCATATGGGCCCCTTTCTGAATGGTGATTGAATGCAAGCCTCCCTTCAGGTCGCTGTGCTTTTGAATCAAGGACAGAATGATACTGCAAGAAGCTCACACAAAAACCCAAATTGCACACACAAAGCTCTTGCACATTCAACATGTGATTATGCACTCTCTCTGTGGAAAGTCTCAGCTTCTCTTTCAGAATGCCTGAATGTGGCCCGATCCCTGACGTTCATTGCTGATGCACCATGTAAGTCAATGTTGTCAGGGGACTGAAAGATCAAGAACCCCTTCATGTCCTGAGTGGCTGCTTTTAAATAGTCTTCTGATGTGAGTTTCTGTCTATTAGGACACAATTCTAGCATATCCACAATCACATTTTTCCTGATTGATTTGTGTGCTCCTCTTATGCTCAAGTTTGCTTGGAAAGATTGAGTTTGGGGTCCTTGACTTCTTGATGAAGAATCCTGTGAGCGAGCATCCTCAATGTTCCTGGATCATCCACTGGTACTGCTGAAACCAGATGAGTCTGATTATACGTCAGGTTCCCAGTCCTTGAAGCTGCTATACCACTCGTGTTATATTGCAACCGCCCTGTCTAACGAGCTCCTTGGTGTTTACCGCTGGATTCTCGGGCCGCTTGGCAAGTCAAAATACCTGGGTGCCAAATGACAAATTAACGATCTTTTGGGCAGCACTCCCTCAGAAAGCTTTGCACATTCATCTACCCACCTCTATGTATGTCATCTTACCCAAGGGTAAAACCTGATACCTATCTCTAGCTGTCCCCAAAAGTCCCTCTTTTGTGTGCAGTGGACGTTGTGGGAGGGACTTCCAATGCTGCAAACGTAAGGACTCTCCATCTTTTGTGAAGCTCAGAAGCTTGTTACATTATCATTGATGTGGCTGTCTGAGGAGGCTGCTGAGAGAAGAAAGCTTTTCCTACATTCGGTGCTCCTCAGATACAAAATTCCTTGAGCAGAGGCGGCCCTTTTGCAGGCTTGAAATCAAGATGTGTTTACCAAGCTGAAACTTTGGATGTCAACACCCATCAAACGGGCGGAGTTAGTTCTGTAGGGGACCACTAGTGTTTAGTCTGTGCTTCAGAAGATCTCTCGCCTCTTTTACGCACCCAATGATTGTCCAGAGAAACACAACGAGCAGCTTTCCTCTGATGTAGCTGAACGTTACTTCTGAGGGGGATCCCCTCCGGAGAAATATGCTGGCGAACGGGCTGAATGCCACCCCCCGGATGGGATGGAGTACTTGGAACGCATACGGTACCGACATCAACGAGGCAAAAGTCAAACAAGCTGGTAAGATGATGACATTACCACTGACTGACGACTTTGACATTTTGAAGAGAAAACTTTCTGGTTCTTTTGAGGTAGTCGAGCGTCTGCCAGATCAATGGACTTCAAATCCAGGAAAAGTACAGTGGAAGTCATCAACGAGCAAGACCTTGAACAAGCTGGTAAGGCAATGAAAGCACTACTGACGACCCTTGGTACCTTGTGAGAAAGATCAAAATGATGACGGTCCTGTGCGAGATGCTGGAGTGTTCATCAAATTACTGATGCTTCACACGAGCGAGAAGGTCTCAAAATCTTTCGAGACTGCATTCAAAAAGCTGACGGCACTCCGTTGTCGTGTGATGTCGTCTCTTGGGAAGGGGTTTTCTTTGGCATATTGCCAAAGCTCCACGTATGTCCCCGAAATCGACGGTACAAGCAAGAGTGTTGTTCAGAATCCGTGGAGGAAGAAGTCAGCTTTTGCAACCAACTCATTCATCAAAATCCCGAGGCCTGTCGAATGAAGGAAGACTCCCCAATTGCTGGTGACCTCTACGAAACTGATGGGTTCCAAAGTCGGTCTCGACCGGCCCTGGAATTTGGCCATGCTTTTCTGCAGCGCTTTGAGAAGCTGATTGCGGGACGCTCTAATCAAAGAGAATCGTACGAAAAGAAGGCATGAAACGGAACCTAAAGATGCATGTGCACGATACATTCGAGCCCAAAAAGCTGCTGTAGCAGGACCAATTGATCAACACCAACTTTCACGGTAGTACCTTTGATTATCTGAGTAAATCTCTGCTCAGTTACCTCGCTTTTCACTGAACAACCATCATGTTTGCAGCGGACCAAGTTGTAGCCCTCGGTCTGAGAGATGCCGGTTATGTCTACATCAACATAGGTGAGCTGCCACATAATTGAACAGCCCGCCACTCATATCATCGGCTTGGAACGACTGAAAGGTGCCCTTAATCATCAAACATCGGCGAATCGTTTGTGCTAGACGCCTCTTTCTTTTGCAATACACATAGAGCTTTCAAAATAGAGCCTTTTGAGTTTACTCTTGCTGGGAGACTCGTCTTTATTGACTCGAAGGTAAATCTCACTGGAGGGTTTGATGATCGGTGAACGCGTGCCGCAATAAAACGTGGAAAAAAGTTGTGCGAAGTTTACATGTACGTCTTCCTTGTTCTGACAGGATTCGTATTCTGTGAAGACTCTGGCTCTTCAGCAGGCTTTGCTCCTTGTTCGACGATGCTATTCAGACATGATTCAGAAGGCCTTTTATGAAGTCCTTTGATTAATTAATCATTATTATTTGATGAGGTCCTCCAAAGGCCTTTTATGAAGTCTCGATTCTAGGTTGACTTTGAGCCAGGTCGAGGTACACAAACGGAGCCGGGAGGACGCAATAAACGAAAACCCACGACTGAAACTTGCGCGCTCCCGGACCCATCCCAACCCCCCAACTAACGCCACCCGTTTCCATTACACTGACTCATCTCAAACTGGCTGTACCTAAACCTTTCGGAAAGAGAGCGTTTGCCTCTTCTACAAACGAGGGCTGGAACACTTTCGTGACGCGTTTCGTATGTCCAAGCTGACTCTGTTACTTCAGCAAAGTATGCATCTTATGTAATGATGCTATTCTGGAAGGGAAGCTCGAAATGCATTTCCCTCTCTTACAGACGATGGCTGGAACACCGTCGGCCGAAGCCCCAGCGGAGACTTGCAACACGATCCGTCCGTCTTTCCTTCTGGGATGCTGTCCCTTGGAAACTACATCCACGGCAAAGGGCTCAAGTTCGGGCTCTACCTCGACGCAGGGTGAGACACGGTCTCTAGATGATTCTCTTGACACTGACTTCTGATAAGCTCGAGTTGTAATAAGAACGAAGCAAAAACTGGAAACCCAACCCCAAACAATACCTGCTCCGCACCTGTGCCCACCTTAAAGAGCCACACTAAACCTATTCGTCCCGGTAAATATGATTTGATAATGTAACTAATCTAAAAGACAAGGGTCTCCAGTCCCTCAAGCCGCAGTCTGTCTGAAAATTTGCGGTTTCGAGTCTTTCCTGCGCTTCCAGAACTCTGGCAAAAATCGAAGCCGACGTGGCTACGACTGGTCGGTTGATCATACGGCCATGAGTTGCTGCATTTTTGGCCGTATACTGGGTACGCTTCATTGCTTCCAGGCAGTTGACTGATTCTCTATCACCCGCAGTCGTTGACTCTTTGGCGGTCGACATACTTTGGAGTCAGAACTGGACTTCTAAAGAGCTATAGATGATCCCAAAAATATTCTGAAGCGCGACCGCTCCTCGTAGAGAAGATCTTCAACGAACCAGAATCACAATGCCAAGCAACTTCCTATCAGCCGTTTCACGCCTTCTGCAGCCACATGGAGCCGTTCAATCTACTTCGTTCCAACTTTTTCTTCTTCGGTGCAGAACTTGATCGACCTACAAAGCATAATTCACCCCTTTTGTCCCCTTATTTTTCTGAAATAAGAATTGGTTTATGTCAAGATTATAGCTGGAAACGTAAGGCACTCAAGTTTGCGTTTTCGTCTGACCCTTCAGGCAGCTGACGTGTGCGGGCCGCGAGGGATCCCTCGGCTTTGAGGCGCGCGACGCGCGCTACCTGCAGGCGGCTACCGTGGACTACCTCAAGTACGACTCGTGCGCGAGCGGAGACGTCGCGCCCATCAGGACACGGTAAAAGCACTCTCTACTTATGATTACTTTCGATTTACTACGAATATTAAGCCAGCACTGAACTGCTGAAGTCAAAACTTTCACCCGCTCCGCACTCGTACCCATTCTGGACCTGCATCCTGACTGAAGGTTGTGTAACTTGCGCTTATCATGATTGATTCAGGGATCAATCCATGATGGTAACAGGATCGATTTTTTCAGTCTTTCCTTCCATCAACTTCGACTCTGCCTCGTTCCTTTGTTGCTGCCACCCAAAGACGGTCCGCGTCGTGCCGAAGGAGTCTCGCTGGTTGGGCACTTCGGGAGCTGTTTGGTAGTTGACTACTTCGCTTAATGAAGGTTTACCCTTTTAGCCTCCCCTTCCGCATTCCAAAAGCTGGGCAGCTTTGAAAGCGATTGTCGAGCAAATCAAACAAAGTTGGATGCAGCGTTTCGACGCTGGCCCAATGATATGCTCCGAAAAACAGGCGGCTTGAAATCGCTTCTTCCTTTTGTACGTCTTTATTTGTTTGACCACCCGCCTTCATGCCTCTGACCCAGTTTGACATATCAACTTGATTCTTATCTTCTAAGCCGCAATTTTTGTGATTCTCTTGCAGGTTCGAAATCATGCGAGACGCACTGGCGGCGCTGAGCCGCCCAATCTACTACTCAACCGGGTACTGGGGCTATCCAACCAGCACGTGCGACGTGAGTCGATGAAAGACCGACCACCTTTGCCCCATGTGCCTTTGTGGCGACGCGTCATTAATAGGTGTCGACTGATCCGATGCACGTGGCTCGCCCCCCGGGCGGACTTAAACCACCGAATCCCTAACAACTGGTGCCGTTCGGACATGTTTCACAAGAATAGTTCGTACTTGCCAAAAAAGTTTGTGGGCGACTTAGATTTGGGCTGCAGTTCACCCGGGAATCACCGATGATAAGACAGTAGGATCCAGAATTGAGATGTTTTTCGATGAGATCCCGTGCTGCGATCAGTAGAGAGCTGAAACGTCTTTCCTGTGCCGGGCTCAGCGGCTCCAAGGTCTTCAAGCGTCCAGACCATTCATCGCCGTGGTTTCACAGTTGTCCCTTCTAAGGAAGTGTTTTGCGTCAAGTTTGCGGCAGAATTCTGGCACTAGTGTCCTCTCAACGTAGAAGACTGAGAGAAAGGAAACTTGTGCACGGCTGGATGTTCAACGGGTCTTCTCCGTTCTGCTGAATCGACAAATGTTCCCCCAAACCTGCGCAGAGAGGTTCGGTCGCCAACAGCTGGCGCACGTTCTACGACATTTACGGCGACATCAACCGGGTCTTTGAGACCATGGACCAGAACAACATGTACCCGCAGTGTGCCGGGCCAAGTCAAGGCTGGAACGGTACGTACCGAAACTTCACGAGAATGCTTGGAAGCCGGGCTCGAAGAGAGTGCTATCAGCCTTCAATTGGCCAAACTGACCCCTCTTTGCCAACTTAAGAGCAGCAATATATTGCTTCAGGCGTACGCGTGTGATTGAGTTGGCCAATGCCACGCGCGCCCTTTTTGAGAATGTGCTTTTCGTTGAAGTCAAAAGCTTGGAACTGACCAGAACAAGCCACAACCATGCCAAACTGAAGGGACTTTCTCGAGCAGTGTTGCTCGTAGCATCTGCAATAGGGTTGCATGGTTCGGGTTTTCGACGAGGAGTGAGTTTGCGCCTGATTCCAATGCACCATGCCTTCGTAGCTCGCTCCATTCACAAGACCTTCAATCTCGAAAGCAACGAGAAAAGGGACTCGATTGTGACAAACCCTTTTGTTCAAACTGCAGATCCCGATTATCTCGTGGTTGGCGGCCTGGGCCTCTCAGACGGGAGCCCCGACTACGTCGGCGAGAGGACGCAAATGAGCATCTGGGCGATTATGAAGGTAACCCAAAAGCGTAACCCAGTCTTCATATGCCATTGTTATGAAGGATTAGATCGAGAAAGCACTGCAAAAGCTCTTTTCTGTTGGGAGATTGCTTCAGAGACCAAATTTAAAACCGATTGAGCTACTCGCACTGCGCTAAGTTCGCTGGAAGGTTTGGGGGCTGGCTGATAGTCATCCCGTCCCAGGATGAACTGTCGTCTGGAAATGCCGCTGAGTCTTAAGAACGCTGCAGTCTAGTCTGGCTCACGACTAGACAACCGAGGATCCGACTTTTCGCTTACAGGCGCCTTTAATGATAAGCATCCAGTTGGCTGCAATCGACGCCACGCGGCAGGCTATCCTCACAAACTCCGAAGTGATCGCCGTGAATCAAGGTGAGTGCGGCGAAGCTCGAAATGTTTTTGGCGTCATAAACAGACTGTGTGACCTCGCTTTTGATGTGAGCAATCGTTTGCAGATTCGCGGTCGAACCATTCAGTAGACAGATTGCGATTCCGTTATTCCAATCCTTGTTGCATCTCCATTCCTGTTTCCATGACTTTGTCCTCACGTCGAGCTCTAACAGGACTCTGTTGATATTACATTTAGACTTTCCCAGTTCCTGAAGTTTCGGCGGGATCATTTTAATTACCCCTGTCAGAATCGGCACGGTTACTGGTGACGACCTTGTCAAGCTTACTACCCCTGAACAATCTTCGTAGACTTCCAAGAAGTCGTTCTAGAACTGACTGACATCATATGACCAAAGCTGTCTTTGCTTCGTTCCGCACAGACTCTCTAGGGGTTCAGGCGTCCCGCACTTACTACGCGGGCAAGCGCCAAATCTGGGCCGGCCCGTTGAGCGGTAACCGGGTGGTTGTGGCGCTGGTTAACGAGAACGGCGGCTCCTCCGACAGCTTTTCGGCCACGTGGACTGTCATCGGGCTGACGCCAGGGACTGTCGTCACTGCACGCGACTTGTGGGCGGTAAGACCAAAAGATGCGTCAAGATAGTTTAAGTTGGGTTAAGACAGGTTTAGGGGTTGAGATGAGTTCCGTGTGAGGCACGCTGCGATTGCGGAATTCAGTCGTCTGAAATGACGACAAAGAAAAAGCTAGACTGGAGGTATCGAGCCTAAAGGCCGTTCAGAGGCATCATTTTCAATCACTACGGCAGGAATTCAGTGTACTGACACACGGTTCTGAGATGGTGACAGATCGAGTCTGGTCAAGGCAACTACGAGGAACCCTCATGAATGCTTGACTCAACTTCCTCTGATTGCTCCACCTTTACTCTTCACGCTGATCATCCCCAATTTCAGAAGTGTCCATCACGCCCAATTTCGAAGGGGAAAACAACGAGCGAAAGGCTGACGAAAACTCTTCTGCAGCTCGAAGTAGGTCAATATGCCTTGCAGCAGATTACAGCGTTGCATTTCGTGGTCGAATTCGTTTCATCCGTCGCGTTCTAGCCACCGCACGTTTGAACCCCATTAGAGAAAGGTGTACAGGCGCCGGGTAAAGCTCAAATCATTGCTTCCGTTCCTCTTGCAGCACCAAAACCTGCCCGGTACGTACTCCGGTTCCATCGGCCCCTTCTCCCTCCAACCCCACGAATCGGTCCTCCTGGTGCTTACAATTCAGTCCGGGAGTTACAACCCTGGCTCTTCCCCCCCGATAAGTGGGTGCAGTCCCAGCTACCCGTACCTCAAGTATCCGTACTTGACGAAGTGCGGTGACGTGGCGCCTTCCATGCCGCAGCCGTGCAACTCGCCGGACGGGCCCGGGTCGTTCGCCATCTGCTGGTGAGGACCTTTAGGATAAATCTGATCTGTATTGTGCTGTTAGCGGAGCAGATTTGTTGGGTGAATGCGCAGAAGAATCAGCCAGGTACGGTAGGCGGGCCCGGGTCGTTGGCCATTTGCTGGTGAGAGTGTCAAAAACCTCTTTCTATTGTATTTGATATGGGATTCTCTTGGAGTCGAACGTTCCAGCTCTGGCTTGCTATTATCTCCTCGGCTTGTTGGGTTCCTCTGAAATTCTGCTCTCGAGTCCGGAGTTCGGATTTCTGGGTCTAGTTATTTGAGCCTGGAACAATGCCTGTGGATTTCGTCGTCTTCATGCGGAGTTTTGTAGAGTGTGGAACGTATGTTTTTAAGTTTCGGACCTCTGTCCATGCTATCCCGCTTCAGTACCTCCTCCTCATAGTTGAATGAGATTGACGCACATGAAATAAGTCTGACGCACATCATGGACGGGATTATTCCCTCAAAACTAAAACTTGTGCCACGTCGATTTCCAATGTCTGAGATCGCCGAAGCGGCTTAAGATTTCAGTTCTGATAAGGTGCGTGGCGATCAATGGGCCTTATAGGTTCAGTCAGCAAATCTCAGGTGGTCTCAAATAACGATGGGCCCTCATTTTTCCTCCTTTGTCCTCTTTGCAACTTGCAATCTAGATCGACCTCGAACTTTCAGCGACAAGCAAAGCACACACACGCACCCACAACTTTCGCCAGCATTAAAAAGCGGTGTCAATGCTGTGCAGTCCAAGCGCGTGCGGCGGCCTTGACACCGACGGCTACAGCCCCATCTGCCAAGGCTATCCCGGCACGTGCACAGATACGCCGGCCCCGCCCGCAAATACGCCGGCCCCCCCGGCCAAAACGCCGTCCCCAACTCCAGGACCCCCCTCCTGCGGCCCGCCAATTCTATCCCCCGGGAGCACTTGCAGCGGCGGCTCACCCAATCCGTGCTATGCAAGTGACGGGTCAAAGTTGACTTGCTGGTGGGTTCTCACTAACTCTTCCTGATGTCCGTATTCATCATATGGTCCTAGCGTCGAGCAAGGATTGACATTCAAGACTGAACGAAGTCTTGCTTCCTGCGGAGGGGAAAGCGTAGTCTCGTCAGTCGAGTTGCCAAACTTACGCGCTGGAAATTAGTATTCCCTCCGTTTTGCTTGTTTGCCACAAAACGCTGTCACATTGCGTTTTAGCCTCGTCGTTAGATCCCTTTCCAACAGGGAATTTTGTGTGTGCCTCTCACCGTTTGACTTGGTCATAGAGAATGCCCTGAAACTGCGCATATTGTTGGTGGCATCCTCTCCATCATGGCTCGTTTTTGATCTCATTTTCAGGCTCCCTCACAATCTTCTCATGTCCCGCAAAATTCTAAAGCAAGGCTTTAGTCCATCGCCCACAACCCCTTCCTCGCTTTCTCCCTTCTACCATGAAAGGTTCCGGATTCCCAACAAAACAGAGACTCAAACTCTCACATCCTTTCCGTTTTCCGCAGCCCCGGGACCTGCGGACCCTTCGCATCGGACGGAACGCCCACTTGCGTCGGTGTCTCCGGGGTTTGTTCCCCTAACCCGACACCCGCTCCCCCTACTCCAACTTCAGCTCCGCCTAACCCCACCCCCGCGCCCACAAACCCGGGTCCTAACCCTACCCCCGCGCCCACAAACCCGGGTCCTAACCCGACCCCTGCGCCCGCAAACCCGGGCCCTAACCCGCCTTGCGGCGCGAGCCGTCCAAAGCTAGCTGCAGGAAGCGCCTGCGGCGCGGGGGCTGTGAATCCGTGCTACGACTCAAATGGCGCGAATCTTATTTGCTGGTAAGAAGTTGGAGTTTTCGTGTTACAGAAGGCCGGGCGACGAGTGAACGTGAGACGAGATCAGCTGTCCTGGGCATTATCGCAACAAGAGTCACGGCTGAAACTTGACCACAAATTTTGCCAACCTAAGCATCTTAAGCAGACCGAACCAACAGAGGACCTCGAGAACAGCATTACAACGCTCAAAATCGCCAGCTTTTCTTGTTGGACACATTGTCCGTCGAGGGAAAGGACGTAAAGAGATCCACGTCCGCTCTCGAGGTGACTCTCAAAGCAAAGATTGTTTCTTTATCACTGACAGGGACGGCCGACGAGGAAAGCACCGAAAGCCGACGACGCATTTCACGTCTACTTTGCATCAAACCCAAAAAGTGCGGTATCTATCTGGCAGTCGGCAAGCGAAGACACCAGCACAGTCACCGATACGAATTTCTGGGCATGTCATAAAAATGAGGGCGAAATGAGGAAAAAAGCTATCTTTTGATTTCGTCGGCCATTGCGAGATTCAAGACGGCGTGCCTATTCCAAAATCATCATAAGAGATGAGGACCCGCTGACGTGAGCGAGTTTCCGTTTGCAGCCCCACTGCGTGCGGCCCCTTCGGCGCCGACGGGAACAGCGCGACTTGCCAGGGGGACACCACCAACTGTGCGGGCAACCCCCCGGCCACAAACCCCCCGGTTACGAGTTCCCCGGGCACAAACCCACCGGTTACTAACCCCCCGGTTACGACGCCTTCGCCTCCGGCGGGCACTTCAGGCCCCCCCGGGGGAATGTGCACCACATACCCTTATCCAAAATCCAGTGACGGAGCATCGTGCAACGCAAATCTCGCAAACCCTTGCTACGATTCCGGGGGCAATTTCTTCATCTGCTGGTAAGACTGGCGACCGGATTGTGAAAGATTTGTGGCTTTGAAAGTCAGGTGAATGAAGAACCGGTTGCGATTTAGGACGTTCACCTTAAAACCTGGATTCTGGTAGCGGAGGAGAGGAGCGGCCAAAAGGAACGCTCGTTTCGAAAACCCGCTTCATATTGCGAAGCCCTCAAGAAACCTCCGTCAAAAGAATGACCTTGTTCGTTCAACCGACTTGCCATACATGGTATGTGAATTCAATCTCGATCTTCCGAGTCCCTGCTTACTTCAATTCCAATTTGAATTGACTTGTTTGATGCAGTCCGTCCACTTGCGGCGCCTTCCTGAGCGATGGCAATCCGACGTGCATCGGTTACCCCACCAACTGTACCCCTTGAAGCGACGGAGGGGGCCTACCTCAAACGGCGACCGACTGCCCGAACCGCCGGCTTGGCAGTCGCCCCAGAACGTCGCGCGCAAAACCCACCAGAGTCCGGTCTTTTTGTTTTGGCTGAAAGGCCTAGAGCCTTTGCAAAAACCGCCCTCTTCAGAGAGTTTCGAGGGCTCAGGTGTTGATAGGATTTGTGATTTCTAAGCTGTCACAGATGCGAAGACTCAAGGGACGGCCATCTTGAGAATAAGAAGCACGTCGAATTCGATGACGTCCCAACGAGTCTTGAGGCTCATTTTGCAGTCCAGTTTGAGCTTCTTTTATGTTAGAAAGAACAAACATATGAGTCTAAGTTGGATCCGGAAAGGGGTAGAGTTGAGGAGCTTGAGTTCGCCTTTGCCAAAGCTTGCAAGGTAGTTGTGATGCCGAAAAATCAGAGAATCTGTGAGCCAACAACCTTGGGTATAGTGGATTCGAATAGCTTTCTTCATGTTTAATCCTTAAAGAAGGCCTGCATAAGGAGAACAGACTACGTATGTATTAAGGAAACGTTTGATCGTTTCAAGCAAACGACCTGGTACATATTCTTGATGGTTGGAAGTTAAAGGGGACAACTTGGCAGGCTACTCTTACTATAAAGCATTTTCCCGTTCTAGTAGCTGTTTCCCTGGAACTGTCTTCCTAGAAAGCGGTCCGTTTAGCTTATTATAATTTTCTTCTTCAAGGCTTCTGGCTCGAATCTATACTGAAATGTCCGCTCAGTTCTATGCAAGTTTCTGCTAGATTGAACAGCATGCATGCATACGAAAACCAGGAGGGTGGTGTATAGTGACTTGTATTACGGAGACCACGAGCTGGGGCTTGAGGCTTTGACTTTTCAGAAACATGTGATGTCAGGACATAATATCATGACGATATTGCAATCTGTATAGTACGAGCAGTGCAAAAAGGACCTAGCTTCGTCCTAAGCATTGCTACAGCATGCTGATATTAATGCAAGAGCTTTGTTCGTCTGGAATATCCGATTTGTAGGGTGTCATGCTGCACCGTGAAACGGCTCAAGTCCACATGGGCGGAACCTTTAATCTGATACAACTTGTCCTAGTGCGTGGTAAGGATCAAATGCCAGCTGAAGCCGTCTAGCAAGCTAAGGTTCATTCGAGACTTCATGACACGGGGATACGTCATTCCTTTACTTTTACTCACGCAGGCGTCGGAAGGTATCCCGCCAGTCCGAATGGATGGTCATATGCCGGTGAATATTAAGGCTCTAGCGTTTGCACATGCAGCCCACACTGAGTTTATGACCGAAAGTTGGTTACCTCTATTGGAAATCCATCTGCAGCTGTTATGATTAATTATGACTCTTGATTTGTCCTATCCCATCATATTATAGGCCCTCCAAGCTGCAATAAGCGCTTATGTTTTACGGCTCTAACGAGCTCCCCTCCTTTGCAGCTTCCCGCAAACGCTTGACCGCCTTCCGCGCGAGCTGCCCCCCCGGCCGGAACAGGAACTCCAAGAAGCGCCTCTGGATCACCGTTGCGGCACGTGCCCGGCGTTCAAGGTGCGCCTTATACGCAGTCTGTGTAAGCTTTGCAGAACGGCGTCTTCGCAGCTCCGTAAGCTGTGGTTTGTTCTCCAACACGCCCAGACAGCTGTCAATCTCTCTCAGACTTCTCTTCAGCACAACGACAGCTGGCAAAAGGGAGGTACGCAGATAATGCTCGAGCGCATGCTGTGCCTGGGGCGACTCCCCCCTGTACAAAACTTCAAAAGATCCCTTAAAGACGGGTCTAGCTCAAAATGCTTCTTCGCGCGCCAAGTTTTAGCCACTTGTTCAAGTGGTTGACTTTCCGATTAGCTGCTTTGAACTCCTCTGAACATCTGAGGGGCTCCCCAAAAGTATTTTCTCCCGCAGAGAGTATATACTGCTGCAGAGGGGGTTGATGAAGTCTGCTTGGAAGATCTCTACCTCATTATCGTGCTCGCGGTCCTGTTTGAAGTTGTTTAGCGTTGAGTCTCGGGCTGAGATTTGTCTTGTCCTGTAGCCTTTCAATCCTAGTTTCGAGGTGCTGTATGGCGGGCTTGTGAGGCGCCGTCAAGTCCATGAGGACTCGAGAAAGACCCGGGCCCTTTGTGGCAATTGAGCAGCGTCCAAATGGGAAGCAAGTGTTCTACTGTACCTAGCTTGCTGACCGTTGTCTGCCGTTTGTTCAACTGGTTGATTCAAAAGTTGGTTCTCTATCAGCCTCCGAAACATTGGCGTTTCACGTACACGAGTGTCCCAGGCGGCTGCGCGTTGTCAGCTCGAGCGCGGCCCGGGGAGTCGCGTCCGACGGCCACGTGACTACATGTAAAGCCGGCGCGGGGGTTTGGGGTTTGGGGTTTGCGTTTGAAGGCCCGGGGCGTCTAATACCTAAACATGAAACGAGTCTCTGTTTAGTACGGTCGACCAATCGTTCCATCGGTTGCATGCGTTGATGTCTACGTACAAGAAATGAACACATCAAAGGTTAGGGTTCGTAATCGCCAATTTAAGGTTTTGAGCTCCTTGCAGGGGGAGACCAAACAGCATGGGAGACAGATCGGTACTACTTGGAGAGGAGGCTTCCTCAAATTGAGCTTGACAGCCGTGCCTTTCGGATCTTTGGTGGACTGCAGCTCGTGGTTTCAAAGACAATCGAGTTCAATGATTCCAAATTGGCGGCAAGCTTATAGCGGGCGTTGCAGGCCAGCTTGAAGCGCCATGGTGAGCACGGGGAGCAGTCACTGAATTGCCGCCCGCATGGTCCACATGCATACGCCAGTAGTTGAAGTGAAGTCAACACGTGACACCTCAGCTCACTTGATCCTTATTGTCCCCACGGCGCCGCGTGGTTGCCAGAATGGATCATCATGGCATGGTGGCGCTGACCGCCCGCGGTCAGTCAAACGGTCGATTGAGCTTGTTCAACCGGATCATCATGCATTGTTGAAGCTATATAGTCGCGCGAGAAAGGAATCATCTGTCGACGCATCATGCAAGCATGCAGCTACTAGCTCGACATATACACATGAATTCAGTGATGTTAACAGGTCTTTGAATGATTTGCATGATGCGATGCAACGGCCCGGCCCTATCCAGTTCATTGGCCGGCATGCTGTGACGGCTAGACCATGGCCGGTTGGTCGCTTGGATTGTTATTGTTTGCACGATGCCTGACACGTAACGATAGATACATGCTGCACTAGCTTCGCAAAGCATAGCTATCGACCTTTGCTTCGAGAAAACAGATCGTGGCAGGCAACGCCTCCAATTGTAAGTGAGTATCTATTATGAATATTCTCATAATTGTGAGGATTCGAAGACGAGAATGTTCGCCCTCAATGTGCAAGAAGCTGTGTCCATGTCATCCGGACGGATCCGAATACAGTCTCCTCATACGCTCTCATCTAATCTCAGCAAGTAATGCTTCCGAACTTAGCATAATGCACAAGCGTCAATGTCAACAGCAAGCCTATTGAATCTTTTTCCTGGCCGCCCGGTCCGCCGCTGCCATTCTTCGCCCGACAAACTTAAGCACCTCGTCAATCAGGATAACGGGAAACGACACCACGAGGACCAGAAGCCACTCGTTTAAGCTCAGCGGGACGATGCTGAAGATTGTGGCAAGGAAGGGGACGTAGAGGATGACGAAGTGAAGGAGCATCGAGCCGGTCGCGGCGATACACAGCCACGGGTTGACCCAGGGGGGCATGCGGACCAGGCTGCCGTCCTCCGAGAGAGCGTTGAAGGAGTTGAGCATCTCGATGGCGACGAGAACCGTGAGGGACAGGGTGGTCGCCTTGACCTGCAGAGGAAGGTGGCTGAGTTTTCCAGTCTGCTTTTCGAAGTCAGTTCCATCCTCTGCTTCACTGTAAACTTGGATCCTCTACGGCCACTCCAGTTCATTTCGCTCCCGTTGCTCGACTTACTTGGAAAGTATCTCTTTATAGAAAGTGAAAACATGTGCCCTGTTCTACACTTGAATTCTGCACTTTGTAACGTCGAGAGATCCCATTCGGAGCAGCTCAATTTTTCCTGCAGTATCGTCAACTTGAACTTTGCTATCATCTTCAGGACCAATAAGCCGTCTTGGGTTCAGGAAATAAGCAGAAGCCCAAACCGGCTTCAGCGATCATGGCAGGCACTCAACCAAGGCCGTTCTCTTTCAAAGAAGACGACACTTTCAAGAATTAAAGGCGAAAGACACCGGTGTCGTGTGCTCGACTGTGCACAAGCATAGGCACCAGGTGTAGGTCGATCTCAAACGCACTACTACAAGAATCCAATATATGGAGCTCTCGGCGGCTACTGAATGTTTTACACTCCTGATTGCGGCCGCGCTCAGTGCAGCTCGCCCTCGCCTTTAGAGATCTCGGCCTCCACCTTAAAAAAAAGATGAGAAGATACAAAGCCCAAGCTTTTTGGTGCCATAGCGCCTCACCTTGCCGACGGTGAAGTAGTCGCACGGGTTGTCGAACGAGATGGTGGTCGAACCGGCCTGGAACGGCGCCGCCTTGAAGCCCTCCCACGTGTGGCACTGGTCCCAGTTCATGAGCTGGTGCAGGGACACGAGCGTATGGCCGTCTCCCGCGAGGTCGATGCCCAGGAACGACGCCTCCGTGTACCACAGCGCAAATATGCCCACTGTCGCAACGCCCACGTACGTTCCGATCACCAGATACCTGGAGAACAAGAACAAGCGGCCTTAAGGAACATGGGAAAGCAGAGTAACTAGAAAGAGTTTCTGTGATGAAAGGACGCCTTTGTAAGCCACAGCGCAAAGATGCCCACCGTCGCAACGCCCACGTATAGTCCAAACACCCAGGTACCCGAGAAGAAGGGAGAGCAAGGGTATGGAAAAACACCAAAAAGCACAAGACCAAGAAAGTGCAACGACTCCGTGTGCCTCAGCGCAAAGATGCGCGCTACAGCAATGCCCACGTGCCTTCCATTCACCAGGTACGGAAGAGGAAGGAAGAGCAAATATTTCGCAATATCGTGCCACATAACGGATATGGTGCCTGTGACGGAAAACGCTCCAAATAGTATCATGCGAAAAAAGCTTTTGTCGCGAACGCAGACATCCTGTCCCAAGCACGATGTAATGAACGGGGAAAGTGCGGCGGAATGGGAAAGAGAAAACAGGGAGCCCGACACAAAATGGAGGTCATTGGAGCGAAAACCTCCGAGCATTACAGCACAGAATTACGAAGTGGCACCACGCCCATATAAGTCTTCATTGAGCAAGTAAGAGGCGAGAAAGGGCCGGTTGAGTAAAAGGTTCCAGCTCGAAGTGCCAGCATGACAGAAAGTCGGATCAGAAACGACGGACAGAAAAGATGGCGAAATCAAAGTCGCCCTGAAACGGCGGCCAAGGAAACGACAGCGAATTCACCTGAAGAAGACCCATCCGTTGATAAGCACGTCGTCCTTGTTGCGGGGCGGCTTCTGCATGATGCCCTGGTCGGGCGGGTTGAAGCCGAGGGCGGTGGCGGGGGGCCCGTCGGTTACAAGGTTCACCCAGAGCAACTGGAAGGAACAGCGCCAAGAGTCGGTCAGGACAAAGATCTCAGTAAGGTTACTCAGCAGCCCAAGTAACTGAGCGAACCATCATTCTGCCTGGCAGATCAAGCCGGCCCAACAGAAACGCTGTCAAACGCACGTCATTGCACGCGCCTCTTCCTGCCGTGGGCATCTTTCCAAGGAACCGACAGAACGACGACAAGATAAGTGCTGAGCGCTCGCTTACTTCCCTGTTCTACTGCATGCACTTGTTGACGAGGAAATTATGGTACGAGACCATAAGAAGCCTGCACTTCAGATCTCTCCGCAGTCCCAAACGTAATCTCGCCCTTAATCTCGGTCGACAAGGAGATCTCCACCTTTTGAGAAGTACGCGATGGGAGTGGATCTAACAAATGGTTTGCCGCCTCACTTGTACTGGGATGAGGATCTCTGGCGTCTCCTTTCAGAATCACAAGGGTACGAGTAAGCTAAAAATGAAGATTTGCCTCCTTACTTGCACTGGGATAAGGATCTCTGGCAGTCCTAGCGCGGCGGTGAAGAAGATGGACGCGACCTCGCCGATGTTGGACGAGATCATGTAGCGGATAAAGGCCTTCATGTTGCTGTAGATGGAGCGGCCCTCCTCCACCGCCGCAACAATGGTCGAGAAGTTGTCGTCCGCCAACACCATGTCGCTCGCCTCCTTGGCGACCTGGCCAGAGGAGGTGCGAGGTTTACGGTCGCCGCATTCACAGGCCGTCCCAAGTAACAGCTGGCAGGATGTTCTCAAAGGACAACCACTAAAAGGCTGCCTGACTATACGAGGACTGAAGTTCGGGCGGCCCCGGAGAAATGTGAACCCCACACAATTGGAGAATTTGATCAGGCTAGAGCTGGCAAAAGAGTTTTGAAAAGTGAAGGCGCTAAGCCCCTTCTTAGCAGTACTGCCGTAGTAGCGATCCCCGAGGCGAAGCTGGGCCACAACAAGATTCGTCCGCTGACAAAAGTCTTCTTCACCGAAATCCCTCGTGCACAGTGGTAGGAGACAAGTCCAGCGTTGCCTAAGTGACCCTTCGGCCTTCAGGCTCACCGTCGGACACCTTTCTCAAGTCCTCCCCACAGACACATCCTCAAAAGGTACTGCGGAACAAGTTGCAACTTTCCTCACCTCTGTTCCTGCAATGCCCATTGCAATACCGATGTCTGCGAGCTTGAGCGCAGGCGCGTCGTTCACACCGTCTCCCGTCATGGCCACGACTTCTCCCGCCTCCTTGAGCATGCGCACGATGTCCTGCTTGTGTCGCGGCTCCGCACGGGAGATGCACCGGCCGCCCAGGCCATGGTCCATCAGAACCCTGCGCCGCTTCTCGTAACTCAGGTCCACGAACTCGCGGCCTGAAAAGTGGAGGGTTCAGCTGGTTAAGCGGACTACTTTGCAAAATTGGGCAACCAGGAACCCTTCCAGATATTCAATATTGCAATGGTTGAAAGAGGTCCATCAGAAGGCGTGCCGATTCTCGTACGTTGGGTCCACGAACTCGCGTCCTGGAAGATCGGAAATATGACGAGTAGGATACTTCACGACGTTGATAAACATCCACATATCCGTTCCTTTTCTGCGCGAATGCTGGCCTCTCTCAACAAGCGGAGCCACCGCACGACCCTCAGATTGGGAGCCTGACATGTGCTAGTCAAAAGAAAGCGCAGCTAACTTTGCACTTGGCCGGCAACACAGCTCTGTGAATGTGCTGCTTACCAGTGAAACTCTTGCCCTCGAGCGACTCGCCCTCGCCAAAAACACCAATCTTCTTGCAAATCGCCTCCGCTGTGTCCTTGTTATCCCCCGTGATGACAATGACCCGGATGCCAGCGTCCCGACAGTTGTCGATGGCGCCCTTCACCTCTGGTCGCGGGGGATCCTGTAGAGTTTGTGCCAGTTTGTATCTCGTAATGTTGGTCGGAAAGTCAAAGAAAAGACAATAAGGTCGCCATTGAGATCGTATCTTCGATGGAGGGCAAGGACATTGTTCTCTGACTGAGGGCAGGGAAACCGATGCTCTGTTCAGACGGCGTGTACTTGCCATCTCGTAAAGGCACGGAGTTGGCTTGCATCCGCTTCTAGTGACTTTGCCATGGCGTACTTTGATCAACATCGCGAGACGGTTGCTTGGCTGCACTTTTTCCTTGCCCTTAATCTCCTTGCCCTTAAAAACGACAGAAACTTGACCGCTTCGTTCCAGACATCGGCATCGCACTCAAAGGCCTCACGAAAGCTTAGTGATAAATACTTCACCGTCCCGCTTGCTCAGCACACAGATAAACGTAACGGGCTTCAAACTCCTGCATCCGAAAGTTGCAGGACGTCGTTCTGTGATGTCCTCACCTGAAGCCCAACCATCCCCACGAACACGAGGTTGCTCTCAATGTTGGCGTACCCATCAAGGCTCATCAGCACCTTGTGCGCGGGATGCGCCTCTGTCCCATCGTAGCCTGCGAGCTGGCCCAGATCGTCCGTGTATGCAAGCGCGAGGCACCGCAGCGCGCGTGTCGTCATGTTGCTCAACTTCTGCTGGATGGCGTCCCGGACTTGCGCGGTGAGCGGCGCGATGGAGCCATCGGACAGCTGGATGCGGTTGGAGCGGTCGAGCAAGTTCTCAACGGCGCCCTGGCGAATGAAGGGCGGTTGTTTGAGGGACGAAAAAATGGTTTGTGATGACCCGCTACGGTCTGTGCGGTGCTTTGAGTGGCATGCTTGAGAGCTTTTCGGAGATATGGGGCAGCTCCGGACTGCACATGACTAAAAAGTCCGATCCGAAGTGACAGAGCAGTCCCGCCTCGCAAATCTGCAATTTAGGCCAATCTGCTACTAGGCCTCCAGACTTTGTGTTCAACCAAGAAGATTTGAGTCTTCAAAATCCTGCAGACTCTCTGAGAGCTGCGCTCTAGCCTTCCACTATAAAAAAGCACGACTTGGCAGGGTTGAAGTTGAGCTGCCTGACCTCTGGAAGCAAAGGAAGCCTACCTTCACGAGCAAGCGGTTAGGAGACCCCTTCCCGGCATTGGTAATCACGCTCATAGACTTCCTCATCCGGTCGAACTCCAAGGTGGCTCGCTTCTCATATCGACCGCACCACCAGTCGCTGAAACCTGCAGGCATGGACGAAACCATGAGCTGCTGTTTGACTTGCTCAGACTCGAACAGTACCGATTTCTTCTCGTTTCTCAGCAGTCCTTCTGTCGAAATCTACCAGTTGAGAATCTCAACAAAGCTTTTGACAGAGACCATCTTGAATACCGCCATGTTGGTTCTTCCAGCCCTTCAGATTCACTGAGCAAAGTACTGACAGAAGCGAGCAAGCTCAAGGCTTTTGTGCCACTTAACTATTGATAAAAAGGGAGGAGGAGGTCCAAGCCTTACCAAGAGGACTGCCCTTCGCTGCCACTTGCGCCCGAATCCCATTGTCAGGGACCCCAATCTTCTCAACCAAAACCTGCAGGGCAAGCATGTACCTTGAGGTTGACAGCAGAAGGGCACCGCGTCAGATTGGTGCGCTTCAAGGTGAACAACATCGTCAATATATAGGTTGTCCAGGTCACGCATCTGAGCACTGAAGCAGTTCTCTTTTCAAGCACTTCTACCAGTACATACGCTGTCGCTTCTCGTGACATGAACAGAATATTCACTCTACTGCTTCTCACAAGGAGTGAATTTGAAGGGAACTCCGCTCAAAGCCTACTGACGGCCGCTCAAACCTTGGCCTTACCTTCAGAGCAGCCTCCGTTGGCAACCCGACAGCCTTGAACCCGTTTCCTGACAGCGCGATGCTCCCCTCGTTGTTGATCGCACAGATCTCAGCGATTGTCTGGAGATTGCGGTCCAGAACGCTTGGCAGACCTTGCACGGCTCCACCGGCCGGGTCGTACGTGGTTCCGGTGACGTTGAAATCCCTGAGCTGAGTTGGCTGAGCTCCAGCTGCTACCAAGTGGACCACAGACATCTGGTTGGTTGTGAGCGTGCCGGTCTTGTCACTGCAGATCACTGTGGTGCAGCCTAGTGTCTCCACTGAAGGCAGCTTCCTTACAATTGCGTTTTTCTGGGCCATCTTCCGTGTACCGAGCGCTAAACAAGTGGTAATCACCGCTGGCAAGCCTTCCGGAATTGCCGCCACTGCTAGAGCTACAGCTATCTTGAAGTAGTACGTTGCCTTTGCGAAGCTGAATGTGATATTGACCGGCCTCCCGTCTTTCATCTCCCACGAGATGAAGTACTTGTAGTTGATCACCCAGACTAGGATACAGATCACTGCGATAACTTTGGTGAGTGTCTGGCCGAACTGGTCGAGCTTCTGCTTCAGAGGCGTGTCTTCCTCTTCCTCCGAAGCTGCCTGAATCTGCTCCTGGATGTGACCTATCTCTGTCTGCATCCCGATGCTGTTGACCACACAAACACCGGTCCCGTTCACAACAGTCGTGCCAGCGAATACCATGCTCTCCTTGCCCTGCATCAGAAGAGCCAAAACAGTCAGTGACTGCAATCCTTTGAGGAGGTGACCAAAAGTGCTTCTCCTGTGGAACTCAACCTGCAGAGCAGCAAATCTTCTGACCCAGTGACAGCTGCTTCCTCTCAACATCGGAGCTTTGAGCTGTCGCAGAATCACTACATTGCAAATGATCTATTAAGCAAATCCTTCAAGAACACGGCATGAAAGGACTAGTTTGACGACTGTGATCTGGCCCTTTACGCCCACTTGGCCAGAGTACACTTGAAGACAGAAGGCCAACCACACCTCTTCGACTTGACAAAAGTGGCTGCTTGATTGCTTTTTCAAAGGACCTGTCTATCTAGAAACCATCTTTCGGCGAGCTGACCGTCCACCTGGCACTATGCAAACTTTTTAAAGAGTGGTAAAAACTTAACTGCCGGACACAAAGCGCCCAGGATGAACAAAAGAGATGCTGACTTGGTAGTGGAAATTGATGCAAGGTCAAGCCCTTAAAAATCACCTCAAAAACCCTAATGTTTGATTGAGTGCCAACAGAAGGACCACAATGATGGACGTTGGTTGCCAGAGTTGATATGGACTGCCTTGTGTGTGGTGGTAGCAATCACTCTCTGGTGTCTTCATAGGAACAAGTCTCAGAGTGATGATCCAATAAACTTGACCAGAGAACCAAAACCTGGAAATTTCACGAGGTACTTGTTCTCTCGTCAGCAACGCACCTGAAGTTCAATCTCGTCCTCCTGGACCTCATGCGTGGACTTGAGCACCGCGACACTCTCCCCCGTCAGCGACGCTTGCTCAACCCTCAGAGTTGACGTCTTCAGTCGTATGAGCCTCATGTCAGCTGGCACCTTGTCCCCCACCCTGATCTCGACAATATCCCCAGGGACCAGCTCTCTGGCTGGCAGATCTGGAATCACAAGACCGTCCCTCAGCACCTTGGCGTGCTCCGACTGCATCTCCTTGAGCGCCTCCAAAGCGTTCTCCGCATTGCTCTCCTGCCACACCCCCACGATCGCGTTGATCGCGAGGATGAGCAGGATGACCAGCGGCTCAATGTACGCTGTGATGCTCTTCTCCTCCGCGTGCGGGTTGTCCTCAAAGTAGGCCAGCGCGAACGAGACAACGGCCGCCACGAGCAGGATCCGCACGAGCGTGTCTTCAAACTGCTCCCAGATCAACTTCCACCACGAGTCGTGCTCCTCCTTGTGCAACTCGTTGTAGCCATAGTACTTGCGCCTGCTATCTACCTCGGTAGAGCTGAGCCCCTTCTCCTCCTGGACCGTGTGGTGATCAAGCGTGGCGCCCACGGACCTTGCCCAGGCAGGGAAGGCAGAGGGCCCGTGGACAGGATTGCGGCTCACCATGCTCAGGCTCTGCTTCAGAGTTGGCCCCATGGCGTCCAGAAAGCTCTTCTCACAGAGGTTCGCCTCTCCTTCTCATGCCAACTGTGGACAAGCGTGCTGTTTGACAATTGAACGCTTCGCATTTCCTCTAGATGCTGGCAGTCGGATCTGATTGGCCAGCCGAAAAACCAATCACATTCAGGGGGGTATGGGCAACACCATTCTTGTACCCCTATTTACGGCGGGGGTTCCAACTGCCAGCGCGCCTCTAGCCAACCGAACCGCTGGCAGGCAGTGCAACTTAGCGCGGCCGGCGGCCGCGACATGATAGACTCGCGGCCGCCTGAGAGAGCCACTTAATAGCAAGAACTTCAAGAAGCACGCCAGCGTCAAAACGAACATGATCACTTAGGGCACGGTCACTTTGAAGTGGCACCCGGTAAGGTATTTTAGAGGCACTTTGGCTCAAGGGTCCCAAGCCCCCCCCCCCTCCTGGCCTTGTCATCACAAAAACGGTCAAGGCCCCGAGCCAGTCCTTCATCAACCGGGCCAAAATCTTGGAAGAAAGCACCGTCGTATACACATTTCTGCCTCTTTTTAACATTGAAAAGTGCATGTTTGTGGCGTTCAAGGGCTGGATGTTCGGACGAATGGGCAAAAAGAGGATAAAATAGCATGAAAAAGAAGATTCTGCACTATATACAACCGGCTGTGGGGCTGCGCCCCAAGTGAAAGGCCTCAAGCCCCCCCCCCCAACAGAATACCTAAGGGGGTGCCACTTCAAAGTGACGGTACCCTTACTGCCATTTTCCATCTGTGCAAAGGATCTTTTATTCGTTATACAAAGCTTGCACGCAGCCGGATGATGAAGAGGTCGACGAAGCCTTCGATGATCAGAGTTACGAGACATGGTTATATTTCGACATGTCAGATCTCTTATATGTTTTTTGGATGCTAGTACCAGCTACAACGAGTATTATTAGCACAGCCCGGACGATAGAGCACATGTATCGTTGGCCATGCACAGTGACACGTTGATTGAGATTGCAGGCATGCGAGCATGGGCTGCTTGCATGTCCGACCCCTTATTGGAATCTTGAAGTGACCGCAGCCCGACGCCTCACCCTGAAACTGAATCGTAACATTTTCCCGTTCTCTTTCAATATGGCTGTCACCAAATGATACATTACACCCCCGGAGGGATACGAGTGTACTTCGATTTGATATACACCTCAACCTGCCGTTCCCAGTGATCAAACTGTCTACAGACCTGCACCTTTCTAGTTCGCCCAGGCTACAGGACGAAAGCCTCCACAATCAGTTCAAAAACGTGCTTATGTTTGTGATCGATTTAATTCGAAGGGTAAGACAGGTCACTTGATACCAGTGCGTGCGCCTCAAGCTCTACCAACGGCCATCAGTGGCTTGACTTCGGCTGATCTACAACTCAGAATGCAAATACCTTCTAGCCTTCCCGGCTGCAACCAGCATGGCTGCGAGCTCAAAGAAGATCTAAGGGAACCGCATCATTGAAGAGGTCCAAAGGGAGCCACTCAGGTGGCGGAATTGCGGCTACGCATTTGTACTGCAAAGAGAGCGCCAAACGTCAGGGACTCAAAGGTTGATGCCGCCAAAGAAATTATATCGCCTGGAAAGCTTCCAGTGGCACGTTTTCCCTCTTCGCAAGCAAGAGAAGACCAAGACCAAGAGGTTTGTGGCGCCTTCGACGAGAACGTCTTGCGACCGCTCTCTCACATTCAACGACTGCTTTAGTAACGCTGTCCAAATCTGAAAAAAGTCAACTGAGCAGTGCTCTGGACTTAAACTGAAGATGACCGGCTTCTCACCTTTGTGGACCTGTACTTTTCCCTAGTGGCTGGCAGATTGCACCCCTTCGTGTTGAGCTGCAACTGGTGGAGGGCTTCCGCGCATTCTCTGAGATCCGAAGGCTTGTATCCGGTGTAGTGTTGCAAAGTCAGTGTCTGCAGAAAAACGGGATCACTTTCGTAAGTCTTCTATAAATCTCACAAGGAGGAACCATGCTCGCTTCAGATGAAGGCAAGCACTGATTGAAGTGCAAGGACGAGAAAGGCCACGCTCGGCTGGGACTTCTAATACGATCAGCATATGACAGTGGTGCCGGTTCCTTGAAGAGATAAGACGAAGCAAGAATAGAGGGCAACCTTAGGATGTCGACAGGAGAGGGCTAAGAGAAGCGAGGTGGACATTTCCTCACCCAAGGTGACTTTTCTGGTTGTAACGTGTACTTGGCAATGAAGACTGATGAGGCAGCGACGACCGAGGGGAGGTACTTGAGGAACGAGTATTCGAGGAGACTAAGCTCAGCAAGGAAGTTGGCCAGGAACTCAAGCTGCACAGAAAGAGAGGAGAAAGATAAGAATCTCATGGGCGATGAAAGCTGGCTTGCCTCCTGGCACAGCTACAAGGTCCAACCAGAGAACGCAACCCAGATGCTATTGGCAAAATCTATTAAACTTCTGCCAGTCATTCAGGTCGACCGCAAGTCAGGTGCCTCTCTCATACCTGTACATTTGCCTGTGCTGCTCGTAGGAAGCGCCGCAAAAAGCTCTTGGTTGAGGGGTTGCTGAGCTCGAAATGAAGAGTATTCAGCATGTGCCGCTCCATCAATAGAAGCTGCAGCAAAGGCGTAGAATCATTCACAAATGAGTCAATATGAAGTTAGAACAGCAGCTAACTGTATTGGAAGGTCCCAGTCTTAGTATCACGAGTCAAAGCTGAGCTCACAGCATGCAAGGACCAGGTCACTTGCCTCGCAGTCTGCAGACAAAGCGCTCCTGCATTCGGTCTTTGTTCGATCCTGTCGAAACTATGCATCTGGGACATTTTCAAAAGGGTAGACAGTGCGTTTCCTGGCAAGCTTTTAGCCTCTCGAATGCTCACCTCTGCTCTGTTGTACGTGTTGTCAGTGATGTAACAGAACTCGTCCACTTGCGGTGGATATAGCTCTTCATATTTCCTGCAAAAGCACAACAAGTCTGTTCCTCTCACAACTCTGAAACGGCAGAGCTAAACCCTCCTCAAAACAAGTGAACAGATGCAGACAGAACTTGTCTAGGTAGTCTTGTAAGCAGTTGGCAAGACGAGGGGCATTTGAGACACAGGAGGGGTAAGAGCTTACGATGCTATCAGCATGGCAGTCACGCCAACAAGCTGAAGCTTGCTCCGCGGCACTGGATTTCGTGACAAGTATCGGTCAATGTACGACACTGTAAGATACAAGCTGTCTGGTACTAGTCGGTACTCCTCAGCAACCTGCATCATGAGACGAGGGCTTTGAGTGCTTGTAGACTTGCCAACTAGTGCATCTTACTTGTGTGTTTTCTCATGCAGAGGTCTTCAAGACTTGGCAGACGGTGAATCTCTTCTAGACAGCAGCTTCATGGCCATGTACAAGTGTTGGCTTACCTCTACAAGCCAGTCAATCAAGATTCCTCGCATGCTTGCATTGATGTCATGCTGGACAGTCTCCATATAGTTCGTTGCTGGCCGCCTTTTCAACTGCACAAGGACAGGGTTGAGGATCAGTGCTTGCACTGGCGTGTGTTGATATATATGTGACGCATGCGTAGCGCAAGATGCGGAATCATCTCTTCGAGCTTGTTGGTCAATTCTGGCTGAGATTCAAAGTCCTGTTTATGACGCAGGGAGTTTGGTACTTACTTCTGCTTCTCGCAAGTGCTCGTATATGTCGGTGACCTACAACACGTGCAAGGTTTAGTAAGCAGTTGAAGGACCCTATGTATGCCCGACCAAGTCCCCAGACAATGCATATAGTTCTTGCTACTCAGCGGATCCTTTGTCTCTGCTGAGAAAGCAGATAGAGCAGAGGGAGAAAGTGCTTGAGAGATTTAAAAAGAAGGAAACAACACTCACGTAAGCGGCGCACATCTGAGGGTCCTTAACTTCAGCATCAATGTCCTTGTAGAGGATGGTTTGTGACCAACCCAACCTCTTGCATGGATCAACTTCTTCATCTGCACAGATTGATGCAGACTATCAGAAATCCTGACACCTGCCAGCAACACATGTTATTGCACAAGCACAAGCCTTGCCTGCCTGTCCTGGTGCTCCAGCATTTTCGTATGCCCGGGAGAAATTAGAATAGGTCAGAAGCATCGACGGGCTTCAGGGAGAGCTTGGGCCTACCTCTTGATCGTGGCCTGCATTTGACAGAACCTGCCCCTCCTGAAGATATCACTAGACTCTGCTTTGTGCTCCTTTCGAGGGCTGCTACCACCGTTGCTGAGAACTGGCTGAGGCCTTCTCCACGCTCAATGCTAGGCAACTCATACGCTGGGCCTGTCCCTACCGGCTCTCTTGCTGGCTCTCTAAGGTGCACATCTCTGTTTAACAAGACCGGTTGTTCAGCAGTCACTTCCTTGCGGACCTGTGTCAACAGAAAACTTGTATTACGTGACAAAACCTGGGGCGTTGAAAATACACACTTTTTGAAATGTGTGGTTTAAACGGAAGGTAGTCTTGGAAACAATTGCACTGATGGATATTGCAGGCAAAGACTATTGCACATCAGGGGCACTGTGACAACCGCAGAGCCTCACCTTGGAGATGCCTCGAGTTTGAGGCCTTTGACTAAGAGCATTTGTCACATCAGCCAAAGCAGGACGCTTCTTTATGGCACCCCTTGTCGATAGCGCCTCTGCTTTCACCCTGAGCCTCTTGCCTGTCGCTGTGTTTTCCTCCCCTTCTATAGCAATGCTCGTTGACCTTGTCCGCACCCTTGGCAATCTTTCTACAGGGCCCATGATGGTAGCAAACTATTTTAGAGCACCACTTCTTATTGTACTGATCGTAGGAAGTTATGGTTTTGATGCTGCTGCTTCCTGCTCCTCATTGTCAGCATAACAGAAAACAGTTGCTGGGAACGACCACTTGCGAGAAGCGAGTAGGCAGAGACGTCAGCATCAAAATGATCTCAAAACAAGTCCTATATGCTTTACGGGCAGGATCCAGACAAGAACCCTCTGCAGAGTCCTCTCGAAAAGCTGCGCCTTCTAAATTCCAAAGCTCTGCAAGCAAATGCGACCGCTTGGAAGTGAGGGGCTTGAAATCTGAAAGTGGAGAGTCAGGAGGACAGAATGGAATGCAGGACAGCTTTTTGAGATCTTCCAGGTGGTACTGAATGCCTGATGTCCCTTTTGGAAGTTTTGCGCCTTGGCAGGCTTGGGCAGCTTGAAATGCATTCGCTGGGGTTTGAACTTTCAAGTTTGAAGAGCGGAAGCAGACATGCGGGAAACTTGAAAAGTCACATGCGGGAAAGTTGAAAAAGTGCTTTCGAAAGTTCGGCAAATTGAATGTTGACGGCGCGCAAGGTGGAATCGAGCGGCATTGGTGAACTACACGTGGCAAAGTTAGCTGTCTCACCGTCAGATGAGGACGTCAACCGTCACGGGAGGTTATGAAAAAACCAATCTGTTAGAGAACACGGCTCACCAAACGACTTCAAGGGAGACTAAAATGATCTAAGTAGCTAACCGATTCTGCACCAGCAAGTCCCTCAAGATGTCTGAAACTGCCAAGTGTACTACCTACCGGTACCTACCGTTAAATAGGTACCTACCTAGCGCTTTGGTAGGTTGGAATACCTATGTACGGTACCACAGTCGCATTGTCTGGCGGAACTGCCTGAGCAGTCGCGCGAGATAGCATGCAAGAGTTGAGTCCATGAATGAAGTCGAGTGTCAAGTTGCAAGTTGCAAGGCGGCGGAACGTAGCGGAACAGTGTGCTCAAAACTCATGCCATTGCAGGTCCTCGTTTCCTTGTCGGAGTCAGTCGGAGTCCTTGCCCTGTTTCACCGCTGAACTCTGTCAACGTGAGGATGGCGGAGAGAATCATCTGAGATTCTAATATCAGCCGGTGAAATGTTTCGAAAGAATGGGCAGCTCCTAGGGCGCTTTGTGAAGCCTAAGGTGGTGCATCCACCTGGCAGGAATTTGCACAATGCTGTGGTTATCAGCAACCATTTGGCCCGTCAGAGTTGTGCGTCTCAGCACCTATAAGTTCCAATCTGCACATCAGCCTCAACAATCCGAGGAATCAAACAGAAGCACAACCGGCCTCCTCATACATCCTGCTGATCCTTCTAGTCTGCTGAAGCTGATGGCCTGCTGAGGACAAAGATGGTTAGCAGGACATATATAAGGGCTCATGATAATCGCCGGGCAACGCCGGCATGGCCGCGTCCAAAGCGCTCGGACGCCGTCCTTCTCCTCGTGCTATGTGCTTTTGGCGTCGCAGCAAAGGTCGTCATGTCAGGCCTTGAGGCGCTCACTGGTGAGTTGCTCGACCAAATCTGCAGGCACACTGCAATGCCACAGTTGGCAATTCTTTCCTGCATTGTTTCTTTCAAAATACCTGCTGATCCTCCCGACTGCTTTGTGATGGCAACTTCGAGGATAAGTCGATCCCAAGTCGTGCCAGTTGGCAAATGTTGTTGATCCCCAGATCACGACTTTCAGCTGCCACTACCTCTTTATCTGCCCTGTCAGCATCTCCTTTCCTTGCTTGAAGCAATGACACCATCCAAAGATCCCCTCAGCCTTTCAGAAATGTGAAGATCCTACCGGTTGAAAGCCTAGTTGGAAATCCTAAGCAGAAAGCAATTGTTTGAGGCGCCCCGTGTCTGTTGACCCTCCATCTGACTCCCAACTCCTCTGTTCTTGTCCAGAAGATATCAATGTCCAGACAGACACTACATCAGACGAAGACTCCGAAGCCAGAAGCTTCGTCAAACCCTTCGACGACTGGTGGCATATCACAATACTGATACATACCACCAAAGAGACATGGGAGACTCAAGCTGCGGCCGTGAAAGCGACGTGGTTGGCGGAACCGCTGCCCCCAGGAGTGCGGTATTTATGGGTTAGCGAGGAGCCACTTCCTGGTGAACCGGCGATTCTCGTTAGTGACAGGAGCGTTGCTGTTGTCTTTCTTTACTGACAGCTTTCGATGGCTTCAAGCCATTTACCTGGCCGTCCAGAATTGTATCTTGGCAGATTCTCCATGCTGCTTATGTTCACCTCTGAGCTCGCCAACTGTAAGCCGCACTTGGGGCGAAGTTGACATTGGCTGTCAAGATTGAAACGATTGAATTGCATCGTTTCAATGCTTCCTCCGAATTTGAACAGGATTTGGAAAGGAAGTGTTTTTCAAACGTACGCCTGATAATTAGTCTTGATCCATTGACAGGACCTTTGAAGTCAACAAGCAGTGAGCTCAAAACGTTTGGCTTCTGTAGAGCACAACACAGCTGGATCCGGCAGTTCGAAAGATAGCAATTCTCAAACTTTCGGCGTTTCTTCTTGCAGATTGCGGCCAGGGTTGCCAAAAGAACCAAAGGGCGCAGGCAACGAGCGGGCGGTACAATCCCTGATCCAGGTTCTGAAGACAGGGCCGTCGCTTTGGTACATCAAGGTGAGCCGCTGAGCGCTTATCTGCAGAGCAAATGTCTGACACTCTGCAATTGGTCGGAAGAATGGCAAATCACATCACTAAGATGCAACATAGGCTGGACAGAAGCATCAGAGTCCTAATTAATCCCAAGCATAAAGTGCCGCCAGCTTTATCCTGATCTGTACTTCACACCTTCATACTTGATCCGAGTTGAAGCCTGCCTTCGGACTTTCATTTTTTCTACAATCTGTTTACTTGGTCCTGGTTTCATGTCAGTTGAGTGTGTAGGTTTTCATCCTGCCTGCTTCGGAACGCGCACCAAAGCTGCCATCAGGCCAGGACCTTCTAGCTCTTTATATCGGCGGCGCAATGCTTCCGTTTGCGGCAAATTCAAGTCCTCGAATCTGGGTCATTTTGCAGCCTCTGAAGCATTCGACAGTTCAAAGATAGCCGAATCCCACCTGCATTCTGAAGAAGAGTCCGGTTTGGCTCACTGATCAGTCCCACAGAAATTCTCGCTGCATGACTTTTGATCAACGCGAGCCATGTACCCCGCAGAAGAGGATGGCTCGCCAGTACGTCATATACTGGATCAGTCCACTATTTTTCACTGAAATTCACTGGATATGGTCAATTCATCTCCATTTGGGAATGTCAAGGAAAACCTTTTCCTCCGCAGGTGAGCGACGAAACGTACGTCAATCTGGCGGCCATTACATCCCAATCGCTGGCGTCACTAGAATCGCCCCAGGAACGCCCTCACTATGTTGGCGACTGTGCCTGCTCTTGGGAAGAGGGAAACTCTAGATGCAGCAAAATGAAGTACTTCGACTGCTCCGTGTTTGCGCGCCTGGAAGGGACGTCGGCAGATGGGGACGGTTATGAGGCGGTGACGGGTTACGAGGCGGATACGGGTGGTTACGAGGCGGTTACGAAACGTATAAGGCGCGGTTACGCGTGTGGTGGCCCTGGCTATATATTGTCGTATGCGGCGGTTAAGCAGTTCGTCGCCTTTGAACAGGTGAGTCACCAAAGATGTTTGAAAACGGCCGTAGTAAACGAAGTCGATAAATGGTTCCTTCGCTTCGTCGAAACTCAATAGCCTGCGCTGTGTGCAGTTTTTGCCGAAGTTCCTCAAGGCCAAGCAGAAAATTTCCGACTCATGCACAATCGAATCGACTTTTATGAATCGTTTCCGCCGTCAGTTGCTCTTACCCATAGGGGGCAAAATCGAATTCGACGGAACTGAAGCAGAAGGACGAGAAGAAAAAACAGGACGGAACGGATCATCCTGTATCCGACGCTGCTTCCGTTTCCGTTTGTAGGAATCCGGTGCCGCCCGTGGCCTCGAAGACATGATGATCGGCGACGCAATGCAGCGGCATCTTGGCACGACATGTACAGAATCTCCTATTGGCACCTTTGCTTTGGTGACAATTGAAGAAGGGGAGACTAGTGACATAGGCATAGAAAGGGCGCGGGCTAGCAATCGGACGCTAGGGACTATGTATAAAATGCGTCCGGACATGATGCGCACGTTGCATCAGCAGTTAGCCGACCGTCGGACAGGGAGCCAGGAGAAGTAGCGCTCGGTAGCCTTTAGCGGAAGTGTCGGGCAAAGCTAGTCATTCCCTCTGTGGAGTTGGGATGAACAGGTTAAACCAGAATTCTGCGGACAGATCAGATCACTTATGATAGGGCGTATGGTTGTGTGGATCTGCTAGGAGATTGCACATAGTGCTTCTCATGTATGTACGTAAATCATCGACCTGTATTAGTTCCTTGTACCTACACGAGTGCAGTATACCGTTTCAATGTGGCACAGCTCCTTTGTACATAGAAGCTTGATTGACAAAGGGCACAGATTCAGAGGAGCTTAACTCCTTGAAGAAGCTCTGCAGGTCGCCCTAACATTGAGTGCGCAGCATTCAGGTACTTATGTTATATAATTGTTGGCCGCGGACGCACGTATTTAAATAGATTGAAGTATACTAGCACACATAAACGTCATTTCGGGCTGGCAAGTTGATTTAGGTCACAATGAATGATCGGGTCCTATTGTATGTTGCGTTGCTTGATTCAGTGATCGAAACGAACATGCAGCCTGGTTTCATATGGCGGTTGATTTTCTGATCAGCAAAAATCGAAGCCTGCTCGATAAATGACATGAGTCTTGAACGTGGGCCAGTGCATTTCTTTGAGCTGTTGGATCGATGCGTCCGCCCCCACTCATCATGTGTATACCACAAGCAACCTATGGTGGGTATCGGCGGTCTCGATCGCGCGACGATCCGGTCACAAATTTGAATCACCGGTGTGTCGCGTCGCGACAATTACTGTACGCGGTACTGACGACCGTGCAGACCGGTACTTGAGAATCCGGTCCGAGTTCATAAATTAGAATCTGTCTGACATTCCGATCGTCAGAAACTTCCGGAGTTTCCGGCGGTACGGTACCGATCAAGTCTGACCGTACGTGAAATTTGAAAATCATGGTTTCGATCGGAAGTTCCGACTCGAACCACCCTAGAGTACCGCGGTACCTAACTTGAAAGGAGAGTGCAGAAGATGGAAACGGGAGTGTAGGGAATGGCGCTTTTTAGAAGCAAGCAATGGCGGCCAATTTGCAGCCACGATGGTGCTTCTTCCGATTTGTCCTCAACATAACAAGATGTTGGAGCTTCGAAGGAGCCTTCATGACGCTCTCCCAACATTTTTTTCTGCTTGTCAGAGGTTTTTATAAGCCTGCATATGGCTCTTCTTTGCGTGCCAATTTGATGCTCCTCTCAAAGTGTAAAACCTGACACTGTTTAAGAATCTCCTCACACTTACTTACGGCCCGGCAAAATTCTCTGAGTATTTGTACCGCCCGAGTAACATAAACCTGAGTAGCCGTGACGCGAACCGCCGGTAACACTGACGATATTCGATACGCGCTAAATCGATTTTGTGGCGGCCGGAGTCGGAATCGACTCGGCCGGTACCCACCATAGGTAGCTTGTGACATTAAGTTAATCACATGTTTCGATTGAATTCCGCTCAACATATCCGACTTACTTATATTGCCACTGGCAACATATGCTGGCATGCATACTATCATTGATATATGCGACGATCCTCGACCGTACTCGGATCGCAGGCACGCAGGTATATACGAAGTCAGTAAGTCCGATCTCTCCGCGCACGCACGGCGATCGGCCCGGCCCGTAGATTCCGACCTATAATCCGAGGTCATGGCGCGAGAATTACTCATACGTTCTGTTACAATTATCAGTGGCCCGGGCACATGGTGTCATTTACAATCCGACCGTTTTACCGGTACGAATAGGGGTTGTGTCGATGGTTCACATCCTATGCTCCTACAATCCCCAAAAGAGCATAGAACTACCACAAAAGCTCGAGGCGCGTACGCAGAGCCCTACATGTGTGAAAAGAAATCGATGTACGTATATATTTTTCGCCATGTTGGACCAATTGACTTTGAAAAGTCAATTGGTCCGGTCGTTCGCGAAGTACCGTACGTTTTTAGGTCCGATCGAGGCCGTATGATTTGCACATTCATGTACTACGGTAACTTTGCATGATCGTTTGAGTACATGCCAGTGGTGGCACGGATTTGAGGATGTTACCGGCAGGGATGTTGGCTGCATGCATCAGATTGTGGTATCATCACGCATGCATGATCATACCGCAATCTGACTCGTTCCTGCTCATGGTCATGCATGTTTTTTGAAAGCACGAAAGTGCTGCGCTCAACCCCTTGTGGTCGGTCGTCTGGTCTGCATGTATGTAAACTCATGTGCATGTGACAAAGCTGGGATAGTGCTCACAGGCTTGGAATCGTAAGTACTGGTACGTCCTAACGTAGTGTGCCAAGTTCGGATAAAAAACGTTTGACAATACAGAAACACCTTGACGATGCACGGCCATCGCTCCGCAACCGCGGTACTGGAAGTACTAGATCCTCACTAATACCTCCGCGAAGCCACCGCACACAGAATGCTGTGACAGCTGCAAGACGCGTCCCAAACCTGGCATGTCCAACTAATCACCTGTTCCTACGCAGCAATTCCTAATCCTCATAGTTAAACTCTCAACAATTTGACATGCATTTTTACATCCTCACACCTTATATGATCGTTTGCAACCTCAGTAACTCCGGTGCTCGGCCGCCCCCCCGCCCTCCGGCGCTCGTTGCTGCTCGCGCGCCTTCTCCTGCATCGAGCTGTCGCTCATCACGAGCCGCGGCCCGAACGAGTACCGTGCATGCCACGGACTGCCTACTTCCGCCGTCTCGAAGCTCTCCGCCGAACCCCAACTTTGCGTCCGACTCAACGTCCCCGTCTCACCCCCCGGTTCGTACTGGTGACTGCTTTCCTGGGCGGTTAAAAGCGCCCCGGTTTGGGGGGGTGAGTACGGCAGGCCCGGCTCGAGCAGATCAGCCCGGGGGGAAGGGAGGGGCGACATAATGAGGGGTAACAAGTGGTCGAGGACCGCCCCCATGGACGGCCGGTCGTGAGGCTTGCTGCGAAGGCACGAGGCGGCGACAGAGGCGAGACGGAGGAGTTGTTCGACGGGCACCCGGCTGGCGATGTCGGGGTCCACGATCTTGAGCAGCTTTTCCTGGGGGAAGGACAGGGATTATGTCAGCTTGAAACGGACTGATAAAGAGACAGAGCGGCGCAAGGTTTTCCAAAGACCAGAGAATTTGAGCTAGTACCGGCTGGCGATGTGAGTGTCGAGAATCTTGAGCAGTTTTCCTGAGGAGGGGATGAGGAAGGCTTGTTAGCGGACAACGAAGACCAGACAAATGAAATGATAGGACTGTCCAAAAGCCCACCACCTTGAGCCGCTTTTCCTGGAGGGAAGACGGGGGGGTTTCGTCAGCGGAAAATGAAGTAATAGCGAGACGGAATGGCGAAACAGTGTGAAGGGCGGGAGGGCGACCACAGGTGCCCAGATGGTTGTCAGGCCCAAGAGGTGCAGCAACCCGCAACCTGTCAGCGCGTCTGCTTTGAGAACAGGTTGTCTAGATTCTGATCATGAATATCCTGGATCCAGGAGCAGAAAAGAGGAGAGCAACAACGGAGAAAAGGAAGCAAAAAACGCACAGAAGACCTTCACACTCAAAGCACAAAAGAAAACAGGATGACGAAGAGGAGCAGATTGAGCACCACAAGAATGAAACTCAAACACGACAGGAGAAAAAGAGGGTGACTCACGGTCACACCCAGTTTTGGCTTAGCCCAGTCGACGAGGTACTCCATCCCGGGGGGCTGCAGTGGGTCGACGCACGTCCGCCCCGTGATCAGCTCCAATAGTACCACCCCGAAACTGTACACGTCACTCTTGGTCGTCAGCCGCCCGCTCATGACGTACTCCGGCGCCGAGTAGCCCAACGTGCCCCGCACCTGCAGTGAAAAGGGACCACTGTGCCTCAGCTATCAGTTTGACCTTTGGCGACCGATGTTTGAGCAGAACCTCTTTCACGAGGAGAGTTCGTTTAAGCCTTAAGCGCAATTGACAGAGTAAGAATCTGCTCTCTAAGGTAGTCGACTGCTGAGTAACCAAGGGTGGTTCGCATGTGCGACGGGATCCTCGTCTTTCAGTGGCATCGGCAGGCGTATCGACAAATAATGTGAACTTTCTTTTTCTTGTCATCTCGCAGGGGCAAAGGTTCCACGACTCGGTGCAGCTAGGTAGTGTGGACCATATCAGAGCGAGACCCTTTTGCAACTCCCTTGCTTTTCTTATGATAGGATGAGATTGCTCTCTAACCATCGGCAGAATACGTACTGCCCGCATCGCTTCTTCTCCCTCAGCTCTTTCGGTTCCGTGTTGTTTGTTTCCCTCATATACCTCCTCTCAATCTCAATCCCAATCCCTCAATCGTTACACGTCTGACCTTTTTCCTGCTATCATAATGCTTGCCAAAACTCTTACCTGCGTCGAAACATGCGTGACCGGCTCGCTGGGCCCCTCTCGCGCCAACCCGAAGTCCGCCACCCTGGCCCCCAAATCTCCATCCAGCAGAATGTTGCTGCTCTTGAAATCCCGGTGGATCACCGACGGGATCGCCGCATGCAGAAACGCCAAACCCTCCGCCGCACCCACAACGATGCGCATTCGCGTCGCCCAGTCGAGGATCGCCTTCTGGCTCCCATAGCCTGCGGGAATCGCAAGAGAAGCTCAATATAAGCTGTGCTTTACGTGATTCGGCGTTTCTGATAATCAAGCCTGTTGACCAGTCGAGAACCGCCTTCTGGCTCCCATAGCCTGCGGGGATCGCAAGAGTAGCTCAATAAAAGCGTTTGGCCGCTGTGCTTTACGGAAACCCGTTTTTGTTTAGGTATGCCTGGGTCGCCCATCGAGGACCGCCATCTGGCTCCGATAGCCTGCGGGAACGCAAGAGAACCTAGCGTTAGCGTTTCAAGTTGCTGTGCTTTACGACATGGGCGTTTTCAATTTGCTAGGCCTCTGTCGGCCAGTCGAGGACCGCTTCTGGCTACGGTAGCCTGCGGAGCTAGCAAGAGTAGATCAGTATAAGCGTTTTGGGTCGCTGGCTTGACGAAGTCAGCGTTTCCAACTTGTTTTGCGTGTTTCGGGCCCGCCTTCTGGCTCCCATAGTCTGCAAACTTTTGCGAAGGTTCGGCATATATCCCGGGTTTGCGAGTAAAATCAGTGTGCTGTACCCAGTTTAGTGTTGACAACACTCCTGCAAGCTTCGGCCAGTCCAGAATTGCGCTCTGACTCCCATAGCCTGCGGGCCATCACAGAAGTTGATTGCTGCTCTAAAAATGGGGTTCTCAATTAGTGATCGCCATCCAAAGCGCCCATTGCTTGTAATATTGCCTGGTCGATAGTTGTCTGGTTGCGTGATGAGTTCTGGCTGTCATCCCCAGGAAAAATGCGTCCTGTAAGTAAGATTCGCAAACAAGACAAAACGGAACTGGTGATGGAAGGCTTTCTGCATCGACCATTCCACAATAGCAAGGTTACTGTCAAAGCCCACGGGACGAGCGAGGTCCGCTATGACAAGGATTTTGAACATGGCATATTTCTCAAGTCTTATCCGAATTCTGGAATAACGTTCCCCAATCTGGACAATACGGCTTGGACTGGCAGCTGTCAGCTTTTGCGCTCGAGGGTGCTCTGCAGCCTTAAACGGAAACCCACCGTGAAGGTAGTCCTTGAGGCTTCCCTTGGGCATGTACTCGTACGCAACGAGTCGCTCCCCTCGGTGGCTGCAGTAGCCAACCAGCTTCACCAGGTGTGGATGGGCCAATCGGCCCAGCGTTGACACCTCCGCCCAGAATTCGCTCTCGCCCTGGCAGAAAAGCAAGAATAGTGTCAAGCACGGTGCGATTGTCCCCCCTTCAGGAAGGGAGGCTTACTCGACGTTCCAAGCAGAGCATGAGACCCATTCAACCACCATCTCCAAAGGTCAGACTCCACTACAAGCGGCTTGCTTTTGCTTTTCGACAAGCGCCTGCAAATCCATGCTAAGCTGCAACTGTATCTTGGCTCGTTAGGCCTCATGTTTAGCACGACAGTCGCCCAAACGTTCAAGCATACAAGGCTGAAAAGCGTAACGTGTTCGGTCTGAACATCCTTCTCTCACCCCTTCGATACAAAAGCGACACGGAGAGAGAGGAAACTATGTCCAGATATTTAGCACAACTCCTGCTCCCATTCCTCTGAACTCTCTGAAGAACACCTGACGAACCCACGCCCCTTACCTGAGACGACTTTTCGTTCAGCCGTTTCACCGCCAAAACGGACCCGTCGTCCATCCTCGCCCGGTACACTCTCCCGAACCCCCCCTCGCCGATCAGCCGCGAGCGCCCGAAATTGCTCGTCGCCCTCCGAAGCTCCCAATAATCCATCTCGCGCGCCCACTCCGACCCCCCCGTTTGCATCGTTCCCCCCGGTTCTTGCATGGCGCCTTCGCAAGGCACTTTAGCAAGAACGTGCTGAACCGGCGTCGCTGCGTTTCTTGGTCGTCCGACTCGATCGAGCCGTCGAAAGAGCCCCCCTCTTCCAGGCTCGCGCGCTTTTCCCGGGCGTGTTTCAGCCGGTTGTGGAGGAAGAAGGAGACGGTACAGAGGACGAGAACGAGCGCGGCGACTGCGCCGACCGCGGCGCCCGCTATGACGGCCGAGCTGGGTTTTGGGTCGGTCAGAGCTGCACAAAAGTTGCGGAGATCCTGTGAGAATGAGGTTCTATTGTTGCGGAGATGGTATGTAGATGGACGATGAGGGTTGACTGCAGGGTTGCGTCGTGAATGGGAACAGAAGGTCGAAGAGGGGGCAACGGAAAGAAGATATTGAATTCTACTCTTTCTTGTTTTTTGAAACAAATTTTTGGCCAAACGAAATGAACGTGTGCAATGGCAACATCTCTGGCCCGGACTCAGAAGGATACGAAGAACGTCGTACGACTTTGAGGATCGTGCAGGGATGTTGAGAAGCGAGGGGTATCGTTGCCTTATTACCAATACCCATTTGAAAAGCTCCTTCGTAGAAAAGGGTTGACATTTCGACACTGTCTGGATACTCACATCTTCCTGAACTCTAAGAGATTCATCACAACTTAGAGAGGAGAAGTGCTCACATATGTCTGGTGGCACTTCCACCCCCACGACCTCGTACTTCGTCACGTCCTGCATCGACTCTGGGAGCGCCACCGACCGCGACTTGAGGCCCCGCACCATCGCCCGAATCTGCCCCTCGGTGAGCGACATGTTTCCCAGCGGTAGTACGTTCACGGTCATCTGGAAGTACCAAAACACGAGGTGTGTTACAACATGTATCAATGACTGCTCTCCTTCCTTCCGAGATCCGGCCAGTTCCTTTCTTCGAATTCTGTCATCGTGACAAAACAACTTTAAAGAGTACTTGCAGTCGAGAGAGGACATAGAAGCCCTCGTCTCAGGGATAGCATCAAAGAAGAACACGTCAATGTCACCAACTGTTCTTTCGCCTTGTTCTTCTACAAGCAGGTCTTCTTGCAAGTCCCAGCAAGAAAACGCCTGTAAAGCTTTGCGGTTGCCTCACTTAATTCAGACATTCGGAACCACATGAGAAATAAAGGAACCAGTGACGTCGGTTGCCTAAGGGAGAATAAGTACCGAGTACCGATCTGACAAGGTCACCTTTACACAACCTTCCGGTCCTCACGCTCGTACAACAAGTCAGAATGGACGGAAACGACAATATGCACACGGACGACTTAAACAACTTACATAAGCGTTCGTCCCGTTGTACGTAACATTCCCCACGAGGTTCACTTGCTGGCGCTGGATCCCCAGCCCGTTCGCGAGGCTCAGCGACAGCAGCTCTTTCCGTGCGCTGTCAAACGGCAGCTTGGTCCCGAACCGGAAATGCAGCGTCAAAGCGTCCACGCACGCGCAACTGCCGGTCCAGCTTTGGACGTCCGAAGCGGGGGGGCAGGCGGGGCACGTGGGGAGATGGGGAGGGGGCGACGCCCGGAGGGGAGGGGCAGGCCTTGGGGAAGAAGGGGCCACACATGTTGAGGTTGCCGTCGAGCCTGGGGGGAAGGGAAACTAGAGTGAGCTTCGAGCCGAAGAGTATCAGAGGAGCTCTGCTTAAGAACAGTGGTTGGTGTTCAGGATCTCTAAGAGAAGTTTTCTAGGCAGTGAGGGAAAGGCAGGGAGGAAAGGGGATGCTAACAAAATGAAGCGAAAAAACAGTTTTGGACTCCGCAAAACGAAGGTGAGAGAAAAATCTGAGACGCGCGGTATGACAAGGTAGACCTTGGGTGCTGATACCCAAGGAGAATAGCGTCAGCATTCTAGTTGAACGAGAACCACGAAGTCGGCGCTCTCGGTCATACTTCCGTGACAAAGTCGCTAAACCAATACCAAACAGATGAACATTTGGAGCGTTATGCCAGCACCAATACAAAACGAAGACGCACTGCCAAAAGGGTTTTCTCGAAACAGGCAGCAGGAGAACTCATGACAGAATATCCGAGACATTCAACACAAGCCGCAAGTCAACCTGTTGCGACGCTCTACCTGAGATCGACGTTCTTCAGGTTGCCCAGTTGCGCCGGAATGGCCCCCTCCAGGCTGTTGTTCTGAAGCCACAGCTGTTGCAGGTACGTCAGCTTTCCCAGCGTCGGGGGGATGGTCCCGTTCAGCTGGTTGTTCTGCAGAGCACTGCCAAGACACAAAAAGCACGAGGTTTAGAGTCGGCAGTCAGGAGGAAAACCAATCACCGCTTGAAGAGGGAAGCAAATGCACTGCGCCGGAGTTGGAAATTGGTCCCAGAGGGCGGCTGTTCTGCAAAACACCGCTTCAGAAAGAAAGAATAACCTTGGCGTTTGCGTAAAGACGCCTCATAAGCGTAACAAAGGACAGAGGCCTTTCTGCAATCAGAGAATGGCTCCGTTCAGCTGGTTGTTCTGCCAAGAACTGCCAGCCGCTGTTCTGAGCATGCGGGGGGCAAAACGTCAGACGTTCGAGATTAAGGACCGAAGTTTCTTTTTCAGATTGTTTGGATCAGATCAGGAAGCAAACTGCTGCTTAAGTGCTGGGCAAAGAACCCACGATTTGAGAGGGACCTTTCGATCAACAACAACAGGGACAAGCGGTCCGCATCTCCACAAAGACAGATAGCCTCCGGAACACCGATCCCCCAGGACCAATCATAGGCTGTTTTCCAAACATCCAAGATAATGAAGAACGTCCGAAAAACCTGGCCCAAAAAAAAAGGCGGAACAGCAACGCATTGGCGGCCGGCCTCACATCACACGTAGGCCCGTCGGGTTGCCAAACGTGAGCGGGATTGGGCCCATGAGCGAGTTGTTGGCGAGCGAAACGTAGGTCAGGGTGCTGATATCCCCGTACTCGTCTGGCAGGCTCCCAGTCAGACTGTTGTTGTTCATGGACAGCACGGAGAGGGACGAGCACTGGGCTAGCAACGGGTTGAGGGGGTCGGACAGCGCGTTGTTGTCCAGCCACCTGCGCAGGCGTCCAACTTTGTATCGGCTTTCGGTCGGAGCTCGTATATGCAACGGTTGGACGCTGACGGTGACAGTGAAGGCTGTTGTGCTTTTGGATCAATGACCAGCCGTTGATTCCTCGTAAAAGATGGAACACCACAGAAGACCATGCAGAGGGAGAATACCAAGCACAACCAAAACAGGTTAAGTGTTTGATCGAGTCGAACCTGAGAGGGCAGGGAAAGACAAACCAGAAAGCATGGGACATTCGGTAGATGAAAACAAGCGAAGTGTTCTGGTACACTTAAGGGTGAGGCAAGGTGGACTTAAGAGCGGCTGAAGGGAAGCGGTTCCTCACAGTTCTTGGAGGTAGCTTAGCCCGTTGAAGTTGTCTGGCAACGCACCCGTGAAGAAGTTGTTCTCGAGGTGCCTGCAAGATGGACACCTTCTTTGCAGAAAGGCAAAAACCGCCAGTAACTGAACAGCTGAACAGGTGTAACAGGAACCGCTGACTGGCAACAGGGCACACCCCTAAACTGGTTTTGAACCAGACGACTGCAAATTCTTGAGAGGGTGTAATCTATGAATGGAGGTCAGGTCTCTTCGTCAAACCTCCGAAACCGAAGCATTGAAGCTCCTAACATCTTATGAGACGTTTTCTTAGGTTGCACTGCACAAAGTTGCAACAGCAAAGAAGCAAGGAAGCGGTCTAAAGCTCAGGAACGAACGAAGAAGTTTCGTTCGAACGAAAGCTCACATCTTCTTTAGCTGCGCAAGGTTGCCCAGCCCACTAGGTAGGGGCCCCGAGAACTGGTTGCCGTCAAGCCACCTGAAGCAGGGAGCGAAGTATATCGCGGATGACGAACTGCCGAAGCATCCCTCCCTCTCAATAGTACGGGAAAGAAGACCAATGCATACAATCTCTCTATAACACGAGAGACTGCACCCAATCTCGTCCAGGCTGTTTGGCCATGGCAACTTTAGCACGAACAAGGCACCTTGAGAACCACATACTCTTCTAAAGGTAACATTCATTTGAAATAGGCGCACCCACGGAAGTAGGGCTGGTTACTTACAACTCCTGAAGATTCAGAATGTTGCCAAGTGCGTCTGGCAGGTAGCCGTTCAGCGTGTTGTTGCTGAGCATGCTGCAAGAGGAGCCAAGACATGAAGAGGCTGGCAATTCAAAAGGGTGACGATCAAACCTTCATCTGCCAGAAAGTGAGACACAACAAATCCAAGGAAACTTGTCTGCGTGTCTCAGACAAGATTTAGCAGTACTGTTATCGTCTATGTAGTGTGCAGTGCAGTGCCTTAGCTACTTACAGGTAGTTGATGTTGCTGTTGTAGCCAAGCTCCTTCGGGATAGATCCGGTTAGTTGATTGTTCCTGATCGACCTGCAAAGATTCAATCGAGATTCAATGAGCATTCAAACGCCGTCCGCTAACGGGACAAGCGTAGGGACTCGAACGATTAACGGACTTTGGCCGTCTTGAGGAGGCCGACCGTTCTGAACGGTTGGTGCAAATAAGGACTACGTGGCCATGACACAATTACCGGCGTGCTGCAAAGTTCCTCCCATGCAGCTCGAGCATTTCACCTGCAGAAATAAATGCTCACCAAGAGTATCAAGACTCTGGTGAGCAGTTAGACTCGAGGCGAGTTTATACCAGCAGCTCACAATCGAGCCAAAGGCGATAACTTGCAGAAGCTAAAGAAAGACCGAACAGATCTATGAAGACAAGAAAACATGTCATTGACAGTCATAACACAGGCGGTCATGTCTACTTACACGTACTGCAGGTTGTGAAGCTCGCTCAAGCGGGTTGGCAGCGTCCCCTGAAGCTTGTTGTTGCTCAGCTCCCTGGAAGAATACAAAAAAGTTCAGCCGCTTTTCCACTGGTGAGTAAGACGAAGAGCCGGGGTACGTATTCCCACGGTTGACACATAACCCAAATGATAATACATTCATACGAAGGCAAGTTAAAAAAAGAGGGGTGAACGGAGCATTCCAAGAGCTAAGGAGCGTGAATCCAAAACAGCTCGAGAACCCGGAACCTGAAAGCTGGGAACGCAAAGCACGCAGCTTGATGCATGGAGCAATTCAAGAGAATGGCTGGCTTTGACTCACAAAGTCTGTAGGGCTCGCATGTCCCCAACGGTGCTGTCGAGAGGCCCCGTGAGATTGTTGTTGTTTAGCCTCCTGTGGGGGCACCAGACAGCGGAGTCAAGTGCAGTCTACAGGATAATGTAGAATATATTGGACGCACAGAACCAGACTTAAAGCTTCCACGTATCCAGAGTCCATACATGCCTCTGATGACGGGCTTTTGAGAAGTGACATTACCACATTGCTGAAGAAGTCAGTTGCTCAATACTTACAGGGTCTGGACTCGAGACAGTTTCCCCAAAAGGTACGGCCAGATTGGGCCAGTCAGATTGTTGAAGGAGAGGTCCCTGCAAAAAGCAAGGTCAACAGGAGCTTGAGCACGATTTCCAGAAACGTTGTTGATCAGTAGAGACGAAAGGAACTCCCTTTTCTTTAAAGAACCTCAGGCAAGAAGCAATCAAAAGTCCAAGATGGCGTTTGACGATGGATAACATCTGAGCGCAATGAATCTGGCAGAAATGACGTAATCTTCAAGCACTTGCTGGAACATGTTCAAATGCTGACTGACAGTACAAGACCTGCTTCGACCTCGTCGACTGAGACAACCAAGCGTCAGTCAGCCTTTCAAAACTCTGCAACGTCAAGGCTTCAGATCGCAGTTGACGGGGTGCAGGAGGAAAAAATTGTTTGCTCTGCTACTTACAACTCTTGAAGGTTGATGAGATCAGTCAACGAAGCTGGAAGCGACCCGATCAGCCCGTTGTTGTTGATCCTCCTACATGAACGAAGTGACGATGCTTGACAAGGCACGATGTGCATCATCACCGATGCTTCTGACCATGAGATTGATCCATGAGATTGATCGTTGCTTCGAGTCCGTTCCCTTTTATGCTTCAACCAAGGAAGAGAATCGATGATAATCGGTTCTGAGATCTTCAAACGAGGCATCTTAAACATGTGAAAGGATTTCACCGTGTTGTGTGAGATGTTTCACCGAACACGTCGATTCCTGACCGCGCCCTTGGACCTGGTGCGGAAAGGGGTCCTCCGAAGTACAACATTGAATGATCGAACTTGACCATCGAAAGGCTAGTAGGTCCCTTATACGAAAATCCATCCCTCTTCTCTGAGGATAAATATCTCAAGCCATCTTTCTCCTACAACTGTTTCTCAGATACAAAGGCTAAAGATTATAGGAGGCTTACATGATCATCAGATTCTGAGAGCGGCCCAGTGAAGGGGGAATCTGGCCGGACAGCTGATTCTGAGAAAGGGACCTGCAACAGGAAGGTAAACCTATTGGGCGTTGCCCCTGACAAAGGGCATGATCCGAGGAACTTAGAACCTAAATTCAACGAACAAGGAGTCCTCTCCTGTGTGATAGAACCTTCAATCCTTGGGTATGTGCAGGAAATACGAGGACAAAGGCAGGTGCGAAGCTCAAGTACATCCACCCAAACGACAATCCGGTTCCTACATTCAAGCGCAGACAGAATCATAGCAACACAAAGACTAAACTGATTCACAACGCTGGGCAGCAAGCTCATGCTGTCCCCTTTTCTAGGAGTTCATACAAGACAGAACAAACCACCAAAGATAAGAGTTGAAACTAGGCTTACAGGAGCACGAGGTTTTGAAGCGCCCCCAACGAAGCAGGCACCGTCCCATTCAGCCTGTTTGTCTCAGCCCGTAGCTCTTCCAGCTGAGACAGCCACCCCAACTCTGGAGGCAGCGGCCCTGTCAGGTTGTTGTCATACAGATGCCTGCCAGAGAATGCGATTCACTAAAGTGAGCTCTTAGCTTCCAAGCTTTTATGTTGTTGAACGATCACAAAAAGGGTCAAATGTAGCCAAAAATTCACAACCTTGACAACATTTGATTGCAGAGGCACTAGCGACTCAAGTGCAGGACCAGGAGAAGGAGAAACGACCGCTGGAGAACATTCTAAGCAATGGAGAACATCAACATGATGGCAGGTAGATGGATTGCAAGGGCAAAGCCGTCTCAAGACTTCAGCAGACGCTTATGTTACTCACAAAACTTGGAGGCGAGGCATAGCCCCCAGCGATGCAGGGAGGTTTCCACTGATGTTGTTGCCAGCCAGAGACCTGCAGCAACGAGGAGAAGCAGGTTTGTGGAGGCACAAAAGCTCTTCCAACTTATGTTGAAGTCATTTGGCTGTTGATGCAAATTGAGGGTGTGCAAGGGAGCGGCACACAGCGTGCAGATTCCATTCTAACGTTGTTACGTAGCAGCTTTTGCAGATTCGAAAAAAGAAGGCAGGTTAAAAATATACCAGCCTTCACAGAATGTAGAAAAACATAGTACTGACGAACCGCCGATGAAAATGATGCTGCATAAGCCAATGGAATGAGTAAACTGACTTTATGCGGAAATACCACTCAACCAATCACCACAACAATCCCGCGGCACGCAAGGGTACTCACAAGTAGCGTAGCTTTGAAAGTTGGCATATTCCAGGGGCGATCGCACCCCCCAGGAACATGTAACTGAGATCCAGTTGAACGACGTAGAGCAGGCCATCTGCCTGCTGTTCACACAAAACTCTGGGCCAATCATTGTTGCATGGATCGTCCCCCCTCCAATTTTTGGTCGCCGTCAAATTGGAAGCAACCAGCTTGATGGCCGCCAGGGCAAGTGCTGCAGAAAGGAAATGGTATGATGAGGCCAAATAGAAGAGACAATCAGATTCTTGCCCATATACTATCCAAGGTGCGCGACTTCAGATAAACTGCTCACGTCAAATGCGCCTGAACTCTTGCACGCCCTACCAAGGAACTGGGGCCTCAACTCCCTCAATGAGATGAAGTCCAAAAGGAAGGAATGTTTGAGATTGCAGCCGAATGGACACTCATGGCAAGCGGGGAGATTCTGTTTACCAAAGGTGTCTCATCCAGAAAGACCTCAAAGCGCTAGCTTGCAATCAAAGCACCTGAAGCACGCCAACTACTAAACTAAGCCGACTTACAACCTTCACATGCGTCAGCATGATTCATTCCAGATTAGGGTTGAAATACGAACGACCAGCGACCTGCTCACCATCGCTATAAGCCGTCTTCCTGTCAGGGCTTGGAGTCAACCCTGGGATAGTGATATTAGGACAACTAGGTGCGGGCGGAAGGGATGCAGGGGCGGGAGCCAACGCAGGCCCCGCTGCAGGCCCTGGGATTGGGGCAGACGCTGGTGCCGGGTTTGGAGCAAACCCTGGGTTTGAGGCAGGACTGGAAGTGCCGAGTGCCGGCAGTGGAGCTGGGCCGGGGGCGAAGCCTTCCAGCTTTGAATACCTCCGATGGAGAGTGTTCTCGGCAGGAACGCCAGCTGCATTCTCCTCTGCTAAAACGCGTGCCCTTTGTAGACGTTGATGGATTCGACGGGCGAGACGCAGGGCCGGCTTTGAGGGGTTTGACCAGGAGAAAGCTGGCCCTCGCTCCCACTGCGAGCGGCCCTGCGTGAGAGGGAGTAAATGCCAAAGCGTGGACGCTACCGAGTCATCGGAGGCGCCCCAACCCGTGCTCTGCTCGGCATTCAGAACGTGACGTCGTGGCTGCAAAACCCTGCTGTCATCCAACCCTGCTGTCGTGACTGAAGGTTGGCGCGCATTTGACTTTGAAGCCTCCCTCTCTTGAGTTCCATCCTGAAACTTGCCAGCCACAGCGGCAAGTGCCTCCCCCCTGCTTCTTGAAAACGCCTTGGAGGTGTGGTTCCTACCTAGTACAGGGTGACCAAATCTTTCCCCACTTTCCAACTGCATGCTGGATAAGACTCCACCATTGCCCTCGGGCCCTTCAAACTCCCCCCCTGGGACCCCCTGCAAGGACCCCTCCACCAAGAAATGCACATCGGGCCGAGAGCTCAAAGCATCCCCTACCACGAGAGACTGCTCGTCATAGTTCCTTTTCTCGACCAACCCAATCTCCTTCTCCCTCCAACTCACAGGCCTGCCCTGTTTCGCCCTGGCCCTTTGCTCCAATTCCTGTCCAGATTCAGAAGCCTCCCGGAAGCCAACCCCCAAGTCGGCAGCCCTCCCTGCTTCATGCCTGCTGCGCCCCTCTCCTAACACGCCCCCCCCCTCCTGCATCCACTCGTCCTGTCGGACAAGGACCAGCTCCTCTTTCCATCCAGCTGCGGTTTTTGCGCGCCCGACAAGAGCGGGCCTCTCATCGATCCCTTGCCCCTGCGCCTCGCAGGCAGCACTGAGGTAGAGCAATAGCAGAGCTGCCGTGAGCAGCATATTGAATCCCATGCTAGCATATCCATGCCTCAGCAAGCCGGCAACGCCGCGACACAGCACACAACGACGCCGCCATCAAAGATTCACCCCAAACCAAGGCTGGCATAATCGACTAGCTTTCCTTGTTTCGTAGCCATGTTCTCCTTCACTTGACAAGGGTCGCAGCCATGCAGGGTCCTTCCAGGGGGACCAAAACACCCCCATGAGTTTCCAATCAAGGTCCATGTTCCAGCAGGCAAACGGCTTCTTGCCCGGATCACCGAGCAATGGCAGGATTAGACCTCCCAAGGGTCAGCGTCAAACCCCACTGTTTTTGGGTCCGGACACCCAGCCGTTTAGGGCTGGTAAGACTGGATTTAACAGCTAAATGTGTGTTAACTGTCTGTTAACTATACATCTAACCTTCTGATTGCACCAGCCGAGGAAACCATATGTGCTTGGGACACTATCTTGCGCAATCGCAGCGTCCAAAATAAGCAACTTCCCATCGGACGGTACGTAACATGGTTCCTTAGGCCCCCCGGGCCGGAGCCTGGGTCCTTCTTGCCTTCTACGGTTCTAGGTGGTGACCATCCTCACTCAGTCGCGGTAAGGGCGACCACATTCAGAATCTAGCAAGACAAACGCAAAGCTAGACGTAGCTAAATAAGATCTTATCGGTGCTTAGGTCGGCTGCATTTGGTGGTGCTGCTGGACGCCCTTCAAAGCATGGCTGCCGCCACCTCATCCCTTCTGTGCTCCGCTTCGGCAGGCTTTGCCCTGCCGCATGGATCCTCGGCGCAGTCGCTTGGCAGCCAGAATGCCATTGCAAAGACGCCGCTCCTTCCGGGGGTGAGATCTAATGTGTCAAGACGAAGGGCAGCCACTTGCATAAAGGCCGTGAAGAATGACATTGGAAAGGACCAGACGGGCCGGCAGCGAGCAGGCTTGGCGGGGCTGCTGCTTCCTTCTTTTGCTGCAGTGCTCATTGGTGAGTACGTCGCTTCGCATGTACGCCCTGCAACTTTCTGTCGAATCAGTCTGGTTCGACGGAGAGGATCAATGACATCAGTATCAAGTCCTACAGTTGACAGTAACCAGAATGAATCCCAATGGGTCACTCCGTCATTCGCAATGCGCGGCATTCTAAGGATCTACGACATGCAACTTAAACATGTGATCCTTCCTTTCTGTTTTCAATCCTGCAAGCACTGGACCTTATTATCAGCTCCTGTCACATTGACTTCTGCTATCTGCAATGAATATAAGTTGGTGACAGAGAGTGGTAATTTTTCAAAGGGTGCCACTTAACCCTGACCGCTTTAGTTTTGTGAACCTGCTATCTGCAACAAAGGCCAAAGAAGCAATTGATATATGGCAACAATAGAAGACGAACTTTTAAGGACTTGGGACTGATGAATGGCGGACATTTCGTGAAGGCAAGATGAAAAGGCACTATGACCGAGCATCTTTGAAGCCCTCAGAGGTTTGAAGCGTCAAGAGAATTGAAGTACCCGGCACCTTTTCAAATAGAAGAATGTTCCTGCTTTGGGTCAGCCCTGACCTTTGCTGACTCACAACTCAAACCGTAAAAGTTGCCAATGCAGGAGGCACACCCTTCGTCCCCGACGCAAGTGCTGAGATGTCATCTGGAGACTACTACAAGTCCTTGATGGAGAGTGTGAAGGTGTGTCCGGTTCAAGTTCGTTCAAGTTCATAATTTGTAGCTTTTTTTTGGTTTATAGCGTTCATATACCATTGATTGAATGGATGGAGGGAGTTGGGATTTATGTGTAGAGGCTACAGGAGGGGGGCTTGCCAATACTGGGAGCTACTCCACGGAGGACTGGCTACATGAACATGGCCGTAATGTGACATGTTGGGTGGTTCAAGGGTCAAGGGCTGGCCAACAAAGAGGATAACACTAAACACAGGATGCAACATGTGTGACATCTTCTTCGCTCCCGTTCTCTTGTGTGGTGCCCAGCCTTTGGACCTTTGCTACTTTTTCCTTAGAGGCATCAGGCTTCCCCAAGATGGCTCAAATGTCCAGGCGGTCTCATTCAAGTGACTTAGGGACCATAACGACAAAAGGGACCATAACGAAACTGTTTCCAGCCCTTGCTCTTGACTGCTCTGTTCCATCTGCCAAAGAGAAGGGTCAGAGCACTTTGGGGCATTGGTTGGGTAGCCCCTGAGTGGATCCCTGCTGCCCGCCTCTTCTGTAGATGCGGGCCTTTTGAATTCAATTTCAACTTTTCTTTGACGACTTTGTCACATAAACGCATTCTTCAAAGAGCACCCTTCTCTGTTGGACCTGCCCTTATCAATCCATCGAGGGCGTTTGCCTAGCATGCTTACAACCGTTGTGATTGAGAGACTTCATAGTATATCTATTCGCCTTGCACGCAAATGCGCTTGTCATCAATCTGCGACTCCGCTCTCAACATCCTTCGGGGTGCAATTATCCTTTTTTCGTTCTCCCTTGCAGAAGAGCCAGACTCAAGCACCAGTCGTAGCGCCAATCCTCGCCCAGGCTCCCCCAGTGGCCGCGGCCGCCATCACCGCAACTCCGGTCGCGGCAGCAACTCCTGCGGCTGATGACGACATTCTGTCGCTCTTCTCGTCGGCGCTGGAGACCCCCTCGAAAAAAGCGGAGCCCAAGGCCGCCGAATCGGAGCAGCCGAAGGCTCCCACTGCAGCGGAGCTGAGGGCGAAGCGCGTGGAGGAGGTGGCCAAGAGAGAGAGAGAGCAGGCAGAGAAAAGGGCTGCCGAGCAGGTAAGCCAAGGGTTGCGACCTGCTTGTGCGTGTTACGAAGACCCCCCGTCTGAGGTCCGCTGGGTTTCAATGTGCACGCTGATGAAGGCTGTCCCGTTTGTTAGTCGGAAGCCGAGTTGCAAGCGCCAGAGCGAGCTTCGATTGGCCTCGAACGGGAGTACACGAGTCTCGTGGGTTGATCTAGTTCCCGAGAACGTTCACGACTCTTAACGACTCTTCCCCGACCGCGCTGCCTAGACCTTCATGGTATTCGCCTCCTCTGGACAAGCGACGGTGATCCGGCAAGGATCGCGGACTGGGCAAATTGATACCAAACAGAGGTTGATTCTCCTGGACAGCATGCAGCTTTAACGCCCTTTCAACCGCCCGCTAATCCGTACAAGCGTTGAATCGTCAGATTTGTCGCCGAATGATTGTTCATGAGACTTTCAGGAGTTTGGCAATGCGTATGCTACCTGCTAAGAGCAACAATACTGTTCCGTTACCGCTCGAAGGAAGTTTTTAGAATGGTTGGCAGCCCAAATGGATTTCTTGTCCTTTTACAAAAGAAAAGGCTGGTAAGATATTTGCGAACAACGGTTTTTTCGGCACTCACCTCTTTGAGTCTGCCCCTTGCAGAAGGCTCTAGAGCAGAAGGCTCAAGAGGCGAAGGCTCAGGTGGAGGCGCGCGCAAAGGAAGCTGCGGCCAAGGCAGAAAAGGAGGCGGAGCAACAGGCGAAGCGGGTACGATTCTTGCCAGTCGCTGAAGCATTTTTGGTATTTTCTTGAGTCGCTCTTCTGTTTTGGACGCATACGCACGGAGAGTAAAATCAGGCTTCCAAGAATGGTGCGGAGTTTGCCGTGTGGCATGCTCGCGGGTTCTTTGCTGCACTGTCGGGAGACCAATAATTGCATCCGTTTCGTCCTGTCTTGTAAAATATCAGGCCTCAAGAACAGTATGGTCACCAACCCGGGTTGGGTTATCTGGGTAGTTTAGGTCAGAGCGAGTAGATTTAGAGATTAATGTTCTGGCGTTCACTTTGGCGTGGTGCTTGGTGCTTTTCCCTGGAGCTTTCGACCTTGGGTCGAGAGTTGTTTGCAGACACGAAGGCCTTGCGAGGCTCAGTTGAGCACGCTTAGACGCATTGAAGCCTTACGTTCCGGCAATCTCGACTCTCGTAAAGCTGTGCAACGGTCTCGCCAATTGCAAATTTTATATCTTAGTAATGTCGTAACGCAATTGCTGCCCGTGAGAAAACAAAATTGTTTACGGAAGGGACAACGATGAGTTCAGAAATCAGTCCGGAAGCCGTGTTGACCGCCATAGCCTCCCCTTGGTTCAACAAGAGGTCTGTGATTAGATCCGACGAAAAAGCGCATCCCAATTCGAGTTTGATAGAGTGGGATGCGAGACATGGAAGTACTGATTTGGAATTTCAAAGGCCTACCCGACACGTTTTCACGACCTCTAACCTACTCACAAAACGTTGCGACATTTTTTTTTGTGCTATGGATAAATCGTTGTGCATGAAATCTCTTCCATTATCTCTGTTGTTTACAATAAGTGATTCGTTTATTTCCAAAACTTACTACCTGGTTTTTTCACTAAGAAGAAAGGAACGAGCTCTGTTTGTGTCACCCAATAAGAAAGGAACGAGCTCTGTTTGTGTTTGCAGGCCCAAGAGACAGCCAAGGAGGCAGCGAAGTCGAAGAAGACGCACGGGTACCTTCCCCTGTTCCTCGCGCAGTTCCTCGTCCTGGGTCTTTATGCGGGGGCGATCACCGTTGCGTTCTTCTTGCCAAAGAGCCAGAGCGAGAAGATTGAAGCGGTGAGCACGAGTTTCTGTTAATAGAAACTTTAGGTTGAGACGTCTGCTCAAGCATGCCTTTTGTCAGTCTTAGTCGGTGCTTGCAATTGGTGGTTTTTCTGGGGTATTTGGTGGATAATTGATTCATCCTTGTCGAGCAGGATTGTTGGGGTTGACACGATTGCTTAGTGCCTGTTCTTGCGCCGACCTTGTGTTAGTGCAGGTAGTTGCAGCAAAGGAGCTCAAATTACTTAGTATGCTTTCGGGCATAAGGACTTCTCAAGTGCGTGATTATCATCGTTGGCGGGTGTTTCTCAGCGTCCCTCGACTTCCTTTGACCATTGTTGGTGTGCACATTCTGTATTGGCCTCTCACGCTCGGACAGCCATTTTGGCTCCCTATTTCGGCACGAGTACGATTCACCCACTGGAAAGAAAGGCTCTCTCAGCAAGTCGTTTCTCTGGTTGGACAATTGAGTGCTTACGCCGACCACGTTAGAGGACGTGGCAGGAGTTCGCCCTTCTTGTTGTCGAGACTGCCTGGAAAGAATGTCTGACAATATTTGATCACCGTGATAAACAGCTCACGTTTCGAGGAAGGCTGTCTAGACCCTGTAGATTGGCACATTTGTGTCAATCACACAACACGGGTGCTTCTACACTGGTAACTCGAGACTGGAATAAAAGAAGATTGGTTTAAGATACACAAGCCCCGGGCACCTCAACTAAAAACCCTAACCAAGATGTTACGCGCTCCGCACCTGCACCCACCCTTACCCCCCCCTCCCCCCGTATGCTTACCTTAGAACAATCAGCCCTCAACACAATTGAGGGTTACCGGAGTGTTGCTTCTCTGCTGCAGGTAATGAATGACATAGCCAAGACAGTTGGCCCCGTGTTTGACAAAGTGAAGCCGCTCGCCGATCAAGCGGTGGCTGCCGGCAACAAGCTCGCAAAGCAAGCGCAGCCTTTGGTTGGGAAGGCGGCAAAGGAGGCGGTGCCCCTCGTCAGGAAAGCTGTCGACGCATCCAAACCCCTTGTGAGTCAAGCGCAAGCGAAAGCCGGCGAAGCCCTCGAGAAGGTGAAAGCCAGCCAGGAGAGTTGATTCGAGTTGTGGAGCGGAAGCGCGAGCTCTGGCCTGCGTTCGGGGTTGGAAGTGCACCCGAAGCCGGCGCTGGAGCAGTCCGTTGTTGACATTTTTGCGGAAATACGGAGACATCAATACGATCGTGAGACATGAACAAAGTGTAAGAGTGTTGATTCAAGAATGAGGTCAAAACGTACAGCATTGCTTTCTAAGCTCTGTAGTAATCATCTCAACTCATATGTTGGGTTCAGCTTCAAAGCCGTTCACTAAGATGCATGTAATTGTGTGCATCCTACACCCTCTATTAGACATGGTTCACAAATTAACTACAACATGCCAATGTCTTGACAATCGATGGACATGGGGCTGACCTAGCTTGCATTGATTCTTGGTGACCACTGCCCCGCGACCTGCTAGATATTCCCCCAGTCCTGAGTTTGCACTACAAAATCCTGAAAATCAGTCAGTGGGTGAGCACATGAGCCAGACTCAGTGGACTTTTATAAGGATCATGGCAAGAAGCCACGTGGTCGATTGTGACCCATGATGGTCTCTTTTCAAAAATAGTACGCCGTTGCCAGCTAGTGATCGGCCATAGGCTTCGCATGGCATACATATTGTAAATGTGTTTCTTTAGCATTCTTCCATGTCTATGCTACCTACCAAACGTTCCTAATCACCTTACCGACGCTACAATGAACTCCTTGGTACATGTGAAAAACCTTCTCAGCAACCTATCCGAGTTGGAGCTTATCAGCCACTGAATGTCTCGTCGTGCATTTGGCTGAAATTGCGCTGATGGTACCAGTCAAAACATGCCACCTCACCGCGGGCCCAAACGGACGGTACGGTGTCTGATCGAGAAGAGACGGTACGGTGCATGTCTGATCGAGAAGAGTGCAATGGACACATGTATGCGAGATAATATACATGCTAGCATAGTATATGAGTCGGACGCGAGGCAATTGCGTCGATTCAGTGGATCGGATGTTACCGAATGACATGTTCGACCACCATGTGGCACTGAGTGCTGGCAGGCCGGAGATCGTGCAAACTAGTGGATCGACTCCTAGTAAAATATATAGCCCGCACATGCATGTGTACGTAATCGAACATACTTTATGGCCAGCCAATCTACCAATGACCCGGCTGCGTGTATCTCTGCCACATCATGGGCATAAGCGCAAAGGCTTGCGGAAGAAGCCACCACCACCTATACCGTAAGTGTCCGGTTCATGACTTAGCATCAACGACTTGGTATGTGTAGCTCGAAGTCATCTTACGAACCCTCTCACATAAATGCACGATACATGTATCATGGTACCACGACGTTCCCTCAGAATCGCACACAAACCCAGCAAAAGAATGAATGGCCAGGAACCTTGAAAGCAAAGAAAGAGTGCCATGCACTTCAAAGGCTTGGCTCTGATGTGTGTGTCCTAGCCTGACTTCCATATTAGGACTTAATAATCGAACATCGTTTGCAACATACATCAAAGAGGAGTGACAAGGTGCTAGTCTTCGAAGCACAAGGTAGGTTATTAGACAAGAAGAGCCCTTCTGGTCGACTCGAAGTTGCTTCTTCCAACACAGCGTGCAAGCTCTAGCACCCTGGATACCAGTATATCTCTTGGAGGGGTTTATCCATAATGCACATTGCCCACTTAACGTCTACTGGGACCGGAAAAGGAACGCCAAATCTTCCGCTGACAGCCTTGCCGTCCCTCCACCCTCCTGCTCGCCAAAAGCTGAAGCGACAATTTGGCGCTTCTTCTCCTGCATCCACAGGACATCACAAAAAGATGGCTCTCCGACACGCCTTCAATTCTCTTACACATTACCCCCAGAATGAGCTTCGGTGCACAGTCTCCCGAGAAGAAGCCCAGTTTCTCTTGCACATTTTTCCTGAGTGTCACCACTTGGGTGTCGAGTCTTAGCACTCTTTTCGAGTCGAGTCAAGGCCTTCTCTTACTGGACTGTTCATTAACACGGAGGGGCAGAAAAAAGAAGCGCTCTACCGTGTTACAGGATTGGCTCCATGTCATCTTTCTCAATATGATCATTCGGACTGCCTGTGCGGCACAATGACCCCTTACAAGCGGGCCCAAAGTGTCGCCGATCCAGCTTAGAAATCTCGACTCGATGTTGAGTTACGGCTAGATTGAAATAGGTCATGCCCGCGAAATGATAGGAAGGTGGTTTGGAGGCTTAGGGTGGGTCCGGGTGCAGAGCAGGTTGAATTTGGTCTCCTTGAGTTCGGGAATTGGTCCGATCGATAGACCTTCAGTTTAGGTAGGATAGTTCTAGGTAGGATAGTTCCAGGTAGGATATGGTCATGGCCCGGAGAACAGGTGGGGTTACTCAGGGGGTTAGGGTGGGTACGGTTGCGGAGCGGGTACATTTGTCGATCTAGAATTTTCGTAACCTGTTCCCCCGAGGACTGTTACTATCCCACCTAGAAACTATCCTACCTGATTTATACTCCTATATTCGACTAGTCACAGGCCTTCATTCGAAACGAAGTCGAGGCTCTGTTTGACTCCGGGCCAATAACCTTACCTGGAGCGCGAGGATCCTGTCCTCGACGGTCGCTCGGACGGCGAGGCGCGACACGTTGACCGTCCGCGTCTGTCCGATTCGGTGCGCGCGGTCAATCGCCTGGTCCTCCGTCGTCGGGTTCCACCACACGTCGAGCAGCAGCACGTGCGACGCCGCAACTAGGTTGAGGCCCAAACTGGCCGCCTTAAGCGACATGATCATCACGGTCACCTGCAAAAGATACAAACATTGAAAGAATCTTCAATAGCCTCGTAGTTGGTTCTGGCACAGGAAGCATGTCCGTGTAGAAACGACGAGCACGATTTAAAAACGGGGTTAGCGGATCCGTCAACTCAAGCTGTGCTCCTAAGAACGTACACAATGGCCTGACCCGCTCGCAGCACGTCAAGGACCTCAAGAGCTTTAAACCGGCATAGCAGCATGCTTGCAGAGTATGTAACACCCTGAGCTTGTTTGACCATCCAATTGGCTTTCGCAACCCGACACCCGTCCGTGACCGTCGACATTCCATTTGCGAAGAGAGACCGAAAAAGCAAAAAAAACGAACACGAGAGTCCGCCCAAACACCAGCCCTCGAACGGCAGGCGTCAGCACATCTCATCTCAAAGAGCGGGAAGAATTCGGCTAAGATTGAAAAGGGACCGAAGCAACTAGAGCGGCGTACCTCGGGCCGCTTGGTGAAGTCGCTAATCGCTCGGTCCCTCGCCTGCACGGTCATCGTTCCGTCGAGGCGGCGGTATTGGAAGCCCGCGTGCTGAAGGGGGCCCTCCAACAAGTTCAGCATGCTCGTCCACTGCAAAAAAGGGACTCTTTTCTTGCAAAGAACTACGTTGATCCCGATAAGAGATCGGTAGACAAATGAGCGAGGAGTCTACCCTCTACGTGGATTGGAGCAAAAGTCCGTTTTAAGCAATGCGAAAGGGGTCAATGCATATATTCCTGGAGAAGAAACGGCCTTCAGATTATCGACAGCTAAACGACTTTATTATCTAGCCAACTCATCCTTTTTGGGTTGGTTTTCAATTCGAAACGTATCGTTACAAGGACCCCAGGTTTTCATAATGTCTAAGCATGCCTTGTCCACTAGCAGAGACGAGCAAAGCACGGCCTTCAGACGTCCGTGGACCAAAAGCTCCTCTAACGATTCGAGTTTCGTTTGGTTGGAGAACCTTGTTGCAAGCCTGAGTTGAAGGAGCACAGACCCCGAAAGACTGCCCGCTTGGAAGCTTTACGTCACAAAGGATTCCGGTTCACCGACTGGGGAGGACTTCAGCAGGCGGCTTGCCTACTACCAAATCGAGGAACATAGAAGAGAGGATCTGGCTTCGTCACTGCAGACTGCTCGAATCTACAGAGCTTCGCCAGTGCCAGTGAATAATGTCAAAAAGCTGAAAACACGGACTGTTCGACGCTCCAGTTAGCACAAAGTGCAATGTCTCGAGTAGGCTACAGGCCAAACGCCGGACGTAATTTTCAAAACCCTCACCTGCGAGAAGATGATTGCCTTTTCCGTGGTCTCCCGCACGTACGTCCCCGCGCCCTCCTCTTCCGGAGACTCCACCGCCCCAATGCCCCCCTTGTGGTCGCCCACAATCTCCCCCGTCTCTCGCGACACACTCACGACCCGCTTTGGCAGCTCGGAAAGGATTCGGATCATGTTGTTGATCTTGGACGACGATCGGACGGCAGGGGACGCTTGGGAAGCCTCCGCTGTTGACGTGGCAGGATCTGGACCGTCAATCTGACCCCGCTCGACTTTGCGCAGTGTGGCGGGGCTGAAGACGTCCTTTGGAGTGACGGGAGACTTGCAGACGGGACACGCGTACGGTTCCAGGTTGTCCGTATTGTTCACCTGCGACATGGAAGTGAGAGGTTCGTTCCCAAGTTTGCCACAAAATGAACTGAACTTCTACGTACAATTGCAAGCTGATGTGCTGACTTATATATTAGACGAGCTTCAGCCAATCTGATTCCGGCAGTCATAATCTCAATGACGCTGAACAGGTTTGCCAGAGCATGCGCTTGGCACAGCACGCCTAATCATTGCCACAAGTTCGAAAACCCTGCAAGTTCCCTCCTGAAGCCTGTGCATTTCCAAAAGCAGATAAGATTGCGGAATCTGCCTCGAAGCTCTCAGAATGGCAACTAAAAGAAGGCGGAACGAACACTCTCATCACGGAACGATCAGGTCGTAGTAGTGGGGACTGCTGGGCGCCCCAAGGCGAGGACGCCTCTGCAGACGTTGCGTGCAGCCCACATTGCAGAAGTGAGCATGCACGTTTTGCCTAGGGATCTTACTCTCTTTATTCCAGTTTGCAGTATTTGGCATACAAATCATGGTTAAGATTATTTTTTGAGCGACATCAGAGGCCTATGGACCATATGGAAAGCTCCCACCGATGCTCCCACCTGCTGCCTCATCATTGCCTCGTCTTGCAGCAAGGCGCTAAACCGTCAAACAAGGGATCTGGCTTGAGATAGCACTTGAACTTCTTACATTAACCGTCTCCAACTTTTAATGCCAGGTTTTTGGATTGTTCGCGTACTCAACAGATCAGTTCGTGAAGAGGTTTAAACGATTAACCTTTTGAGTGGGATCTTGATAACAGAGCTCTCGCGAATGAAACCAGGCAAAGGACGCTGAATGTGAGCAGAAGATCTGTATGCTTCTAGGATGAGCACAAGGGGGCATCAGAACTCATCCACAATGAGCATTGCCGGAGAAGCCATTGGCAGCGGTGCTCGTATCATAGCCACAGACTTCGCAACCTTCAGGCCAGTACTCACAACCAAAGAGACTCTGGACGACAGCAAGTGCTGGGTTTTATTGGATGAATAGCAGCGGACAATACAAGCGTGTGCTGACACAAAAACAACCACTCCAGAAACGCCTTCCTGGACATGACAGACAAGGAGCTCGAAGTTGTGGACGTAACAGCCGCAAGTAATCCAGGCTGGGGTTGCTCAAATACAACTCCCGCTGGTGTTAATCGGCTCTGTAACACCGACGATCCTTCAATCAGTCGCCAACTCTTCTTTAGTGCATATGTCATCCGAAAGCAGAACGCGGAAAGTGCATCTGTACAATGCTTCACTTGTCCCAGAAGGTTGGCATCAACGGCCGGCGACAAATGTCTCCGCCCTCAGCAGCCTTGGCAGTACGCATGTCATTTGCCAACAAGCTGTATTTGAACGATCCGCCTTTTCTGCACTTGAAAATCGGGGCCGAAAACTTGGGGGGGAAAGGTATGCAGTGAACGGGTGGCAGCGCATAGAAACAGGAAGAAGTCTTGAGCAGCCAAGACCCATTTCTAGACCTTTCTATCGCAACATCCTCATGTCTTGTTGGTTGTGAATTAAACATTGAGCTGCTTAGCTTGAATAGCGTTGAAGACGACACAATACGCTGGAGAGACTGACAAATAATGTTCTGCTCATGCTGAGCACAGCTTGAGTACGCAATGTAGAAATTATTTCATCTGTACTGCCTTTTTCAAAGGTAGACTGGATGAAGCGAAGCTAAGATACTGATTGATGACGCCGATTGCCTGTCCTCTCGGGGAGCGCATGTCGAGCGGCGTCCGTACACAAAGCAAGTCTCTCTTGCTAGGATTAGCATCTAGCAACAGGTTTTGTCATCGCCGTCAAAGCTACAATCACAGCACCCAGCTATAACCGTGCAACCTTTGAATCCGTCAGTCCGTCTGATGACTGACCGTCGCGGTAGCCTCGTCCCTCACTTCGACAAAGGCTCCCTCCCAGAAATTGTACGAAAAAAGCGAGAAGTGTCTTCAAGAGCAAGCACGCAGCTGTTTCCTACGGCCCGCAGGCATGGAGGAAGAGAAGAGAATCTGCCAGAGGTGAGCCGGCTTTTCTGCTCAGAGAGGAGCTGATTGAAAGAGCAACATCCACGACATCCGCAAAAGGTATATTGCTCTGCAAGACTATAAGTCAAGTAGCATCAGGACTTTTCGCACCTTCGTTGCCCAATATGCAGATCAACTGCGGCCTCGTAGTGCACGTTCTTCCTTGCCACCAACGATCGAAACAACTGTACTACACTGCTTCACTACACCTGGCCAACTGGGGCTTCGATTGCCGGAGCCAATGGAAACCGCACGAGCTGACCGTCTTCTTGGCAAGCAAACCGATCAGAAAAAGATAACGCGGACAGACAGAAACGCAGCTTTCAAATGAAATGAGTTGCAAGCCAGTCTGTTCGATCAACCCCACTCTTCGTCCAAAAACACTCAAATTACGATCGACAACTCACCCGCACCTCTTTCCTCAGTGCATCGGCAGGAGCACGGGTCTTGATTCTCGAACTCTAACACCCACTTACTCTCCTTCAAGTGAACAAGAAGCCCATGCCCCCTTCGTTCAGCTTCAATGCCAAACATTTCTTCACAGGTCAGTGTCCCGCTCACCTGTTCCGCAATGCACCGTCAGCAGAACACGCGGCAGCTTTTGAAAAGCACGACCTCCTCTGGTGCATCTCATTCAAAATACTCCTGAAACGAGGGTCCAAAACCAAAACCAGGACCACTAGCTCACCTGTTCCGCAATGCACTGGCGGCAAAACACGTGGCAGCACTTGGAGATGACGGCCTCCTCTGGTGCGTCGTGGCACAAGGAGCACGCGCTTTGGAGGCCCTCCGCCGCCGCGAGCAGGGCCGCCCGCAGCTCGGGGCGGAGCTTCCGGGCGACCGCCTCGGCCTCCTTGCTGTCGTGGTGGTCGCCCCCCTCCAGGCCCTTCACCAGCGACCAGTGGTTGCAGGCCTGGCATAGGATACGATGGAAAAGGAGTCAGCATCTTGGAGCGCAGAGCTTGAGAGCAGGTTTGAAGCTCCCAATCCGGTAAGGTTGGCTGATAATCAGCCAAATTGGCAGGAAAGGAGCCGGAGCCATTTGACCGACTTCATTACCATTTGAGGGAATGGCCTCAAAGCTGAAATACAGACAGACGGCGACGTTCGGAAACTGCGTCAATAAACATTCACAAGGTCTGCAGAAGGTGCGGGAATTCTACCCTTCTAAAGAGCATCGTTTTGAGGTTTCCCTCCCGTCAACACGCCCAATCTTGCTCCCCTACCTGGCGCGCAGATTCAAAAGCAGTCACAGGATGTCGAACTTCAGTTCTTGTTCAACTGTGCCAGCGTTCAAGCCACAGGAATGTACCATCGACTCGGCAAAAAATTTGCATCTTCTCATTCAAATACGACCTTGATACCAATGGATCCAAACCCTCACCTGGCGCAGCCGCAGGAGCACCCACAGAATGTTGAGATAGTTCTTGTTCAACGTTTCGCGGGTACAAAGAGACACAACCAACGAAATGGCAAAACCACCTTTGCATGTCCCTTCCGTTCAACAAGCTCAGAGCCTGCTCAAAGTGCTCGAGCGCCCAAGGCAACCGCACGAGCATCCTAGAATGTTGACGTAGTTCTTCTTCAAAAGTTCCGGCGCTCCAAAACACCTTCAGACTATTAAACAAAGTATCAGCCAAAAAAGTTGCGAAAAATCGTCTCAGAGAGCGATCAACACGAAAGAAAGCAAATTCGCACCTGGCGCAATCGCAGGAGCACCCAGAGGATGTTGACGTAGTCTTGTTCAACGTGCCGGCACTCTGAAGGACCCTCAAAAGCACAGAGGCAAAATAGAAAAGCAGAAATCTTCTCCGTTTGTTGAATTCAAAGGGACTTAAAAAATCTCCACCAAGCGCAGCAATAGCAACACAAAAGAAAGCAGATTCGCACCTGGCGCAGCCGCAGGAGCATCCACAGGATGTTGACGTAGTTCTTGTTCAACGTGCCGGCGCTCCGGAACGCGTTGAACTTCTGGCGGCTCTCCCGCTCCAGCGTGTCGTAGAAGCCGCGCTCCTCCGCCGTGAAGTCCGCCTGGCTCAGCCGCACGATCCGGGCGGGCAGGTCGATGATCGGACGGCCCTCGATCACCGTCTGCTTCGTGCGCCGCATCATGATCATGCTGAGGATCACCTGAGAGAGAGGGAAAGAGGGGGTGAAAATTTTGCAACACATGAGGTACGCGAGCCAAAGGGGGAGGTGGATGATCGGACGGCCGTCAACCACCGTCTGCTTCGTGCGCCACATCATGATCATGCTGAGGTTGACCTGAGAGAAAGGTGTGGAGAAAGTGATGAGGTTGTATTGTCTTCAGGGCGGCTCAGTCGTATTTGGAAATGCCGTATCGCAATTCATGCTGAGAATCACCCGGAAACAAGGGAAAAGGGAAACAAATGAATCGCGTTTGATTGCAGGCGGATCTGTCGGCTGGAACTTATAACGGCCGGCTCTGGCGGCGGCCGTCCTTCACACCCGAGGTTTCTAGAGAGCGGGTTCCTTGAGATGTCGTCATCTCCCCTTTCTCGAAAACAGTCCCACCGAAGTGAAGGGACATGGGGATCGAAGACGGCAAAGGCTGCCCAACTCAGATTGGACGATCTAGGGAGGAGCATTCTTCATACAAAACAATCTTTTGGAAGTTCTGAGGAGTATTTTTCAAAAAGAACATCTGAAGCAAGGACGAGCGAGAAACAAGTGATGGACACGGCTCGTGAGACAGCGCCCTGCTTACTTCATGCACACGAGATTTCCAAACGATCTCAACTCCGCAGACGCTTCCTATACCTCGAATATTAGAAGAAAGACTCAACGTGCTTTTCGTCAGAATCGCGAGATTTGCTCTCCAACTACAAGCCTGGCAGAAACACAACCAACACTTCTTTCTGCAGAATCCAGCAACTATAGCAACTAGAGAAGGGTTCCACAACATACCTGCAGGCGCCTGTACCCGACGGCGGGGTTACGAGCGATGGGCTCGCGGACGAGCGAGCGGAAGGACTTGAAGACGTCGTAAGGGGAGAAGCGCAGGAAGCGGAAGTAGCTATACAGGTCGTCAATCGAGTTCTGCAATCGCGGAAGGACAAGATTTTGGTTTCAGTTACATGGTTTCAGTTATAACATCGCGAGAGAAGAGACCCAGAGTTGAAACGTCGCGAGAGAAAAGAACAGTCGGGTTCAAGAATGGTCTCTGAAATCAACTTGAATCTGGACGAGCACTTCAGATACTAGATATCCGTGCTTTTTCATAGTCCAGTATGAAGAGATTGTCCGTTTTGCACGTCTTCTGGTGGTCACTCTGTGGTGCAATATCTTCGCTTCTTGTAAAGCAAGTTATCAAGAACGACTCCATCCAGTTGACGCGTACAGCATACTCGGCCCTAAAGCATAAGCCGCCGCAACGTCTGCACTGCCTCTTTACTCAGACTCCAGGACCTCGAATAGTGACAAATATGATCCTTTAGTTCTCAAAGAGCTTTTTCTCTGTGAAGACCTAATTTAAGAAAAGTAAGAGCCAGGCATGATCACGCTCACCACCCTGGGACGGGGTTATTTTGGGGGTTGGGGTGAGACGGGTGCGGGGCAGGTGGATTTTGGATTGGGTTCTTCTTGTTATTATTGATTAGGCTATCTCTCACCTGGATCGGCGTGCCGCTCAAACACCACCGCCGCTTGGCCCTCAAACTCCACGCCGCCCGCGCCGCCTGTGTGCGCCCATTCTTGATACTCTGCGCCTCATCCAACACCACGCGAAACCACGCGACTCGCGCCAGGGGCCCCGACCCAGGGGGCAGAAGCCCCTCGTCTTCCCCCAGGGGTTTGGCTTTCTTCTTTGACTTGCTCTTGGGGGGTTTGTCCTTCGCTTTGTCCAGGCCGTTGCTGGCCCCCCCCTCGGACTCGGGGAGGGGCTGCTTGGGGACCTCCATGGAGACGATGGCATACGTGGTCAACACGATGTCGTACTGGGCCAGCTGTGGATCGAAGACAAAAAGGTTCAATATGCTTAGTTCTCCAAAGTGGTCAGCACGATGTCGTACTGGGCCAGCTGTGGATCAAGAGCAGAAACACCATGCTCATACTAGAGTTTCGGACAGGAGATCAAAGATTAACGCTCGTATGTGCTTGTGCTTCATCTCTAGATCGATGGCCAGCGACGTATTTTTGACTGCCGTTAGAAAACAGTCGCAAAGTGATCTGACAATTGCAAAAACTACTCAAGCCGCGCCAACGTAATTACCTCATACGGATCCTTCGTCCTCCCCACCCCATGGTAGATTAGCAGCTTCAATCTCTCTCCCGGTGAAACTTTATCCCGCACCTCGTTCGCCCACTGCCGCAATACGCTGGTAGGGCACACGATCAGCGTCCCAGCGGGGGGCCTCCCCCGCCTGCTGAGCGGGTCTCTCGGCTCCCCCCCAGAAGAGCTCTCCGGTTGTGCCGCTTTCCCCTCCTCCTTTGCGACCCCCTTTCTCTGTCTCGGCCTCGCGATCGGTTCCTCCCCAGCTTCCTCCGAACTCGCTCGGCCCCCCTCCGCCAGAAGCACGCCGTTCTGTAATCGCAAACCCCCCCCAGTCGTTCGTCCGTCCAAACGGCTCTTGCGAATCCTCTGCGCCTCCCATGCCCCAACCCGCATCTTGCAAGAACCCCCCCATTGGCACCGCCGCTTCCGCCCCCCCACCCTCGGCCTCTTCTCCACCCCTTCTTGGCTTTTCTCCATTGCTGTGCATTTGCTCCGCCCCGCCCTCCTCGCTGGCGTCACGCCTGACGTCACCCCGAGGCTGACTGCTTTCCCTTGCCCCCCCGGGCCGGTACTCCAGCCGCAGCTGCACGTGTTCCGGAGCAATCTCCACAAGCTCGTCGTCCTCGTCCTCTGCTGACGTCACAAACACCTCCTTGTAATCGTCCAGGTTTACCGTCTCGGCCAGCGCGGGGCTGGCCCGTTCGGCGGGGCCTGGGGGGAGGGGCTCGTGGCTCGGCCGCGGCGGGGCCTTGTTGGACATGATAAGAGCGATGGTAGTGATGGTCTTGCCCAGGCCCTGCGGAACAAGAAAAACCACAGGGCCTTCTGGTTCGGTACAGGTTCTGAGGGAGCTATGTAACTCCGCTTAAAAGCAGGGCTCCCAAGTTTTAGACCTCCCCACGACTGAGGCTTAATGAATTGTCTGCCACCTAGAAGCTTGAAGTACAACAGGTCCTTTTTCTTCCTCCAATACTGAGGCAGTGAACATCTTAAACAAGACATCCACGTTCTGCGCCATGATCACATGCCTGCCTCGCGCGAATCCTGGGGCCCCATTATGACCTTATTCGAGTAGATTCAACAAGAGCGTCTGTTATGCCCACTTGCACATGACAAGCTCTTTTATCACAAGCAAAACAAAACAATTCAAGATGACTTGAACGAAGTTCTAGCTTCGTACATACCTGGTCGTCTGCAAGTATCCCGCCCACCGGCTGGTTACTGATCGTCCCGCTCTCGCGCTTCTTCATCCACGACAGGGCCAGCTTCTGATGCTTCAGCAGCGGAACCGTCATCGACCCCTCTGGGGGGTTCGCTTCCTCTGACGGACCAGTCACGGCCATGCCCTCCAGGACCCCCCGGAGAGCGACGTCATTGTCGCGGGGGACGCTGGGCCCCGCGGCAAGCGTGTGCGTGTGCAGTGTGGGAGGGAGGAGGCGGCGCTGAAAGTGCGCTTGCTGTTGGCGTTGGTGCTCTAACACTTGTTGTTGGTATTGGGCGTGCAGGGATGCTGGAAGGATAAAGAGAAACCACGTCTGAGGCCACCAAAAAAGAACGAGGAGTGTAATACATGTTGAGCGCGAGTTGTGAATTCGGGGCTTTTATCGAGCTCGAAATGTAATCGGCAGGGCTTGTGGGAATGAAATTGAGATGCTGATACTTAGCCTGGGGGGCCGCTGAGAAGGAGAGAGGTAATCATGAGGAGACTCGAAAGGTAATCAACAGGACGGGATGACACTGGGATAGAATAAGCTGCTGAAGCACGGGCGGAAGAGATCAAGGGGAAAAATATCCAATGCAATAGGCCATACACAAAACGAATAAATAAGCCAACGCCAGTACATGGAGGCTGTCCCAGTGTACAAAGAGATATGCAAGTGCCAAAGAAAGTGAGCAAGGTCCTGATGAAGAAGCGGAGACTGCCAGCATTTTGAGGTGACTGTGATTGAATGGTATGTACTCAGCGACAGAGATAAGAATCATCTGCGGGCAACCTGACAGCCACTTGCAACGAACACCTTCCCATGAATTTGTGAAAAGCCAGCCCGAAATTGATGCATCTAACTCGACCGAAATGCTGACCTTGCTGTCCCGAATGTGCCAGCGCCGCTTCCCGCAGCGGCCCCGCTAGCGCTTTCGCCGCCTCCCTATCCAGCATCGACTGCGAGCGGCCAAAAGCTCCTCCGC